CCTTCTACCTCCAGAAGGAAGCTGAGGTATGTCATTCATCGAACATGGGTCAAAACGCCATTTGCTTATTGAGAACAGCTTAAAATCCGGCTGAAGACTTTACTGGACAAGAAGAAGGTTCTTCAATCCCGCAGTCAAAATACTTCAAGAAGATCTGCCAAATTTACCACTTTGGAAGAAGGTTTCCAACAATTTGGTAATGATTTGAATAAGCTTCAACAATTCGTCGAGATCAATGGCATGGCATTTTCTAAAATCTTGAAAAAATGGGACAAAACTTCCAAATCGAAGACGAAGGAGCTCTATCTTTCGAGAGCTGTTGAAGTACAACCGTTTTTCGATGCTACTGCTATCAGCGAACTGTCTGACCAGGCCACTACAAGCTTACAAGAACTTGGAGCTTGGTCCGAAGGCGATAATGTTAACTTTGAAAGGAGTCAAGAACATATTGTTAGCAGTCAACATTTATTGGGGACTGACGAAGGCGATGCCGATACCTTATTATTGGAAGCTGTCATTTCCGGAAATCTTGATTCTTTGAAAGATCTCCTTCAACGTATGAATTCCGCAGCAGGCCCTAACGGTACTAGGGATCTGGCACTGATGGAAAGAATTACTCGAACATTCCTTGCAGCGATTAATGAAGGCCCCCAGCAATCATTACAATTGCTTTTGGATACTGGCTTGGTCGATGTACAGTCTGAAGATGATATAAATGAGCGCAATTGCCTCCATCAAGCTACGATTTACGGAAACTGTTTTGTGTTGACCGTTGGACTTTCTCAGGGAGTGACTATTAGCCGAACTGACGTATATGGGCGAGTACCATTGCATTATGCATGTATGCATGGTCGACTTGATATGATGGAGCAGCTGCTGAATGGTATGTCGGTCCATGAAATGCTGCCTCATTTTCAAATACTGATGACCTTACTACTACAGCGGATCATTCTACCATTGATCTAATAGATCATGACAATTTCACGCCTCTTATACATGCAATCATCCATGGCCATATTGAATGTGCCCAGAGGCTGCTTGCACGATCTGCCAGAATTGACCCGGTATCTGAGGCAGATCATGTGCCTTTGAACCTGGCTTGCGAAAATAGCTCCATCGCAATCGTCGAACTTCTGCTTAAGCACGGCGCCAAAATTCTTCCAGATGCTGAAGGTCTATATCCCCAGCATCTTGTTGCACGATCTGGTCAGACACCGCAATTACTTCTTTTATTGAAGAGCTATGGTGCGGATCTCAACCAAATCGACAAACTTTACTCATGGACACCACTCTTTCACGCAGCTAGTGAAGGGAATGTACCATGTATGCAAACATTACTGGATGTTGGAGTCGAGACTCATGTTCGTGACGAAAAAGATCTTTCCGCCATGTATTATGCGGCATGGGAAGGGTATCTCGAATGTATGAGGCTCTTGTCCTTGATTCCGCAGCCACCTACTGGTGGGAAGGCCATCGCAGTACCAATCATTGGATCTACAATGGGAAGCAGTGCTCCTATGCCAATGAGCATTGATGCTGATGGTATCCCTGACTTGGAATTGCCACCTCCTATTATTCCATTACGACGATATGGTCATAATTTCCTCGACACGAAAACCTTCATACAAATTAGCTTTGCGGAAGAGAATGGAGAGCAACCGATGATCTTTTTCCATGGCAGCAAATATCCTGCAGCACGTCTCACTATTTCCTCCAAACTTTCAGACTTGATACCCAAAAACATTTTACTCCCCTTCCAGGAAGATACCCGACTTGTTTCATTTCAAATTGATAATTTAGATTCTTTCGCCATCGATTTCGATGTTTTCCCCACATACGGTGCTAAAGTCATTGCAAAGACAGTCGCATTACCTAGCACATTCCGAGCATTAGAAAGCAGTTCCGGCCGTTGTTGCTTGCCACTATTCGATCCACGCCTAAGGGCCATTGGTCAGATTACTTTCAATTTCCAAGTAATTAAACCATTCCAAGGAAAGCCACTGGAAATCACCGATTTCGAAACGTACTGGAAAGCTACGAGCCAATTCGATTCTAGGCCAAGTGCTTTCATCACCGGATCTAGTTTATCTGGAGATTATATACAACTTTTCGTTCAGCATACTTGTGATGGGGTCCCAGTTCTTTGGCCACGCTGGAACATTACCTATAATGATATCGAATTTCCAGTCTGTCGCCTGACCTATGCGCAATTTTTAAGTGCAGGATCAGCCCAAAGAAAATCAACTAGGGGTTTATCTGCTTTACCTGGAATGCCTTTAGCTAACATTACCGAAATCCATGATATACTTGCAGCATCGACTGTATCACTGGAAGATGCGCTTTCTCTACTCCCAAAAGGTATGCATGTTGACCTACAAATCTTATATCCAACCATGGAAGAAGAGAAAGTCATGCAGCTTAGCCCGACGGTAAACATCAATGCATTTGGTGACGCCATTCTCAGAGTGGTTTTTGACCACGCAAGAACTCTCCGAGAACAATCCCCAGATGCAATGAGATCGATTGTTTTTAGCTCATACAACCATACTGTCTGCACGACTCTGAATTGGAAACAACCTAATTACCCGGTATTCTTATGCAATGATCTGGGCCGTGAGAGGGAACCAGGTCAACAACTAGGAGTAGAAATTAGTGGAAGGAGAACTACTTCTATCAAGGAATCGGTTAGGGTTGCAAAGAACAATAATTTCATGGGCTTGATTTGCTGTTCCAGACTTTTGGTATGTTTTTTCTCTTTGAGAAATCCGCCTCACCTACAAAATCCCATCTCGTGTTTCTTTGCTTTTACTTGCACGATGAATGATTAATTAACACAAAATTAGGATATGGTACCAGCATTGATCGAAGCCATAAAATCACAAGGACTTGTTTTGGTGATTGATAAATCCGCAGAACCGGTCGATGAGAAGAAATTATTCAGTGATCCGTTCCCACGTTTGCCAGATGGGGTTGATGGGGTCCTGAAAGCAAACGGCGTGTTAAGATTTAATGAAAGCATTGATATGTAGGTGGCTGGGTAACGTAGCTTAGGTGATGGGATTACTGGAGATCATGAGCGGGAGTGAGTTAGCTTTGATGGGAAGAATTGAATTGCAAAAATCGAAAGAAGGAAAAAAACTAGAATGTTGAGTCCTAGTACTTCGTGGCAGCACTCGATCTCGTAAATGCTTGTAGATATATAGAAGAATAGCTATGGCTACGCATTCTAGGTACACGCGATGTCTGTAGATAATCATTCTCTCATTCTTTCATAATCCACAAAACCAACTGTGTTCATTATCTTTCCCTCATTCATCTTCTCATCCGGACTTTTCTTCTCGCCTAAATAGCCCCTGCTAACCCTCCATTCATCTAGACCCAATCTGTACTGTCCCATTCACGCCCTCTTCCCTCCCAAAATTTCTCTCACTATAACACTTTCAGCCGAGAATCCTCTAAGAAAGACACCAGAATCCGTATGCTGAGCAAATTACTCGCTGTTCGCTTCCAAGAACAAGGGGTTACCCGAACTTCTCCTTTCCTTCTCGCTAGCAGCTCAGCTCTGTGAGTGAAATGCAGTGGTGTTTTATTCGCAGCGTTCTTCAGATATGCAATATTGCATGCAAAATGGGTACGTATGTTGTTCAAGAGATAGATATATGTGACATGAAGTTTTGCGATGCGGAAATGTGGTATAGGATGTTTGTAGCTTCATCTTGCGCTTCTCTTTGATCCACTGGAGTTTTGGCCTTGAGCTTGTAATTCATATGTTCGTGAGCTCGCCATTTTGTAGAAGGAATGAGATGATGTTATTGGGTGGAATGAATTGATACAAAATAGGAGGTATTCAATTCTTGATACTGGAATCGATAATCTTTTGAGTATTCGCTTGGTCTTTTGAAGGGATTGTCGCTGTAAAGCTTGACATCTCAAGCCAAATTCAAGGAGGCAAAGAAGAACAACAGTGTCAAAATTTGAAGAGATAAAAGTATAGAATATAAGTATTGAGAACAATATCGGAGGTATGTAACACTCTTCAAGCTCCCTTGTATCCATATCTCAAACTCCCCAGCTCTTCTTCGGGGTTTACACTCCCCATTACGGTTTTCGCTAAGAGTACCACGGCGTAAATCCCCAGGGGTAACCATTCGAACCCAGTCCACCATATATTGGTTTCTGCTTCGGACATTCTGGATCTGGATTGGTGTTTGGACTTGATAATCGTTCCAAGAATTCCTAGTATAAGACTGAGGACGAGATTGAGGATCGGAAGGTAGGTTTGGAGTGGCCCATCGTCTACGCTATTTGCTCCCAGCACTCCTATCTTTGATCGAGGGAAATTTTCAGATGGCTGGTTGATTTTATCGAGGAAAGAGATCGATGTTTTCTCCGGAGGTAAAGAGTAAATGAGGAAAGCGGTAGATAGGAGCGAGGTGATGGAGAGGATGCTGAGGAGAGAGGTAATTGGAGAAAAGAGGGTGAGGAGGTAGGGGATAATGCTTATTAGAGGGAGACAGAGAAGGAAGCGCGTGTAGATATTATTGTATTTTGTATGAAGGGTCGCAAGATGTTGAATTAGGTTGTCTTGTTCTAGAGGGTGAAATGATTAGTTTTAATATTTTAAAAGACGAATCGCGGGGTCAAGCATACCTTCTTCATCAAGAGCTTCGGGTAACGAGTCATCGGAGTCGTTATCTGTGGGATATCGAAATGTCTTGCGTAGACGCGAAGTAGTTTGCTCCATCTTTTGCAACAGGTTCAAATGCAAATTTGTTGTAGAAGATCTTGATCAGTATCAAATAAACTGTCGGGATAAAAGATGAAGCTGGAACGGGAGCCTTGCACATGCATAGCTCTCAGCCTCGCATTTGAGCCACACTAAACTTTTTAGCGGGTCAGTTCGAATCGCACGATTAATTCAAAGCTCCAGCTCCCCTCCTTTGCGAACAATTGTGATTAATGTCAATGCCATACATCATACATCATACATCATACACAAAATGTTACCACGACTACTACGAAGCTCGAGAGTTCTACCTAGGTTGAGAGTAAGCAACATAAACAATGCGAGAAATCTTGTCCAAAGGAGAACGTTAGTTGCAGCGCCAAAAGTTGGAGATGGCCCATTGATGGAGAGGAGAGGGGATCGAGAACTACCTGGTACTTTTACATGAACAGAGTAACAACTATGAAGAATACTGACAAAAAATATCAGACATTCCTGAGAATGGCATGAAATGGGTCCGATCTATCCCCATATTCCTCGTTGTCCTAATCTCCAGTACCCTCGCCATTTTCAACTACCAAAAGTCCTCATCCTCCGTCGTATCATCCACTCTTTACGCCCTCCGCACATCACCCAAAGCGCGTGAGTTCCTCGGCGACGAGATTTATTTTGCGCATAAGATGCCGTGGATCTGGGGAGAAATGAATCAATTGCATGGCAGGATTGATATTCAGTTTGAGGTCAAGGGAACGAAGAGAAGTGGAACAATGAAGTTTACAAGTCATAGAGCCACACGACAGGGCATGTTTGAGACGACGGAGTGGAGTTTGGAGGGCGGGGAGGGGGAGAAAAAGGTTAAGATTGATCTCTTGGATGGGGCGGATCCGTTTAAGGGAATCGAAAATGTGGAGGAGAGGTCAGCGGAACCAGGCAGAGGAAGTTATGCGCCTACTTTGTCAGGATAGAGGTTGGCTTGTGGTCGAGTGAAATTGAGAGATGAAGGGAGTTTTGAGAGAGTATAGGGATCTCGTAAATTGAGGGGAGAGAACCTTGGTTGGCTTTAGTCATTATGAAGATGGCGATGTCAGACTATTAGTTATGTGCCGAGCGCATGTATAAGCATATTCGTATGCATCAAGACGATGAGGATAGACTTAACAGTTGCAAGAAAAAGGGCATTGGGTTGGCGTTATAGGTTCAGGTCTGAAACGCCTGTATATGCCATGTATTCATACAAACATTACAATGTAAAACCATTCAACTCATGCTGCAGTAGCAGCTGTTTTCGCTGGCTCCTTAACTTCTTCCAACAAAGCGGGTATCGATGCTACCTTTGGCCATGGTTTCTTAATGGCATCTTGAATCTTCACCACACATCCATCTGGGCCCGCAATACATCCATTCAAGAGGACCAAACCTTTCTCAGCATCCACCTTCAATACCTTCACGTTCTGAATCGTAACCTGATGGTTTCCCATTCGCCCCGCCATCCTTTTTCCTGGATGGACTCTTGAACCACTTCCCTGACTTGCACCTGCACTACCCATCGTCCTGTGATTCTTAGAGTTACCGTGACTAGCCGGTTGACCACTCCATCCCCATTTCTTCATTCCTCCTGCAAATCCCATTCCCCTACTATTCGCCCTCGCATCCACAAACTGTCCCTCTATGAACCATTCTGCTCCAATGCTCCTACCAACATCTAGTAATCCACTCTCATTCTTCACACGAAACTCGGCCATATGCCTCTTAGGCGCAACCTGACTCTTTTCATAATGTCCCAATTCGGGCCTCGTAACATTGCTAGGGTGTTTCCAGCCAGCACCAACTTGTACCGCATAATAGCCGTTCTTCTCTCGGGTTTTGTGAGCAACGACTTGCACGCGATCGAGTTGCACGACGGTGCAGGGTGTGCGAACGCCGGTTTCAGGGTCGTAGAGGGCGGTCATGCCTTTTTTGATACCGAGGGCACCCGTGCGTAACGGGAGAGTAAAGTCTTTGCGGGCGAGAGCAGCGGTTGAGGAGGCGGAGAGGATGGGCAGTCCAGCAGTTTGCTGGTTAAAGCGTTCGGGGTGGGAGCGAGGAGGGGCGGTTGTCCAGCCATATTTTACACCACGTTTAGTTATGAGAGGGAGGAGAGATTCGGGGAGGAGAAAAGAGGGCGGAATTTGCGCCCAGCTGGTGGGGAGTTTGGGTGCCATGTTGTTTGGATTGGGGTGGAAGCTTATTTAGAGATTTGGTTATGGATGGGGAGGGGAGAAAATCTTTATACGGAGACCGAAACGAGTCGGGAGTGCGGTCAATATCAGAATTCGAACACCGATAACTTCAACCTTGACATTAATTACCTAGTCTCTAGTTTAATATCACAACTTTATGGAAAGGTTTACAATATAACAAGATGGTGTATTATTATACCTCTAACACTGTTTCGCCATCGGCTTACATTTACGCTGGAAAAGATAAATTCGAAAGTAAGAAAATAATTTCCATTGACTGAAACTCAAAAACACATGTTAACGAAACCCACAGATGAAGACCTCATCAAGCATGGATTAGAAGAAGATGTATGGTTTCACGTAGACAAGTTGTCGAGTGCGCATATTTATCTTCGAATGAATGAGGGAGATTCATGGGAGTCTATTCCGGAGGAATTACTGATGGATTGTGCTCAACTGACCAAAGCAAATTCTATTGAAGGTAGGTGGTACTGAGAGTTTGAGAAGGGAAAGGAGAGTATTATGAGTACATGTGAGTTGATGAATTTGGATTAGGAAATAAGAAGGATAATATTACTATCATCTACACACCGTGGTCCAATTTAAAGAAAGATGGAAGTATGGCGGTAGGACAAGTTAGTTTCAAGAATCAGAAGACTGTGAGTATTTCATTCGGATCTTTATTGAATTCACATTTCAATGTATGATGTGATGTTGAGATTTGCGGTATTAGGTTAAGAGAATTTTGGTTCCAGCCAGGGAGAACCCAATTGTCAATCGGTTGAACAAGACCAAGGTTGAAAAGTTCCCAGATTTGGCAATGGAGAAGGAGGAAAAAATGAAGGCTGCGAGAAAGAAGGATCAAGCTGCTTTATTGGAACGGGTACGTAGTGTGCATTCTGACATTCAAATATACTAATTCCGGGGATAGAGAAAACAAGAAGCGAGACAGGCTCAGGAGTATAAGGATAAGAAGTGGCAAAAGGATCATGCATATGATGATCTATTTGTTCAAGATGATGATGAAGAGGCGAACAACCAAGATAGAGGTGAAGATTTCTTAGATGATTTCATGTAACTTGCTGTATTGAATATCATTGGGCTTCTGAAACGATATGATTGAAGAGATACTTTTGATCTCATAGAAACATAACTCATGAAACACGATGTTCGCATCTTCATTTGTCGAAAGCACTTTTTGTGACCCCATTCTCTGGCCCCTCATATCTGTGTCTGTGGAGAATTTTCCGGTCCCGTTGTCTTCAGCTAGACTCTTCTTCCAATTTCTAGTCTTACCATGTACCGAAGCTTCTACCAACACGCGCAATCTCACCCAGCCAGAACACTATTGTAACATTCTTCACTGACCAACATTACTACCCATCTGATTCAAACTTGTGCCCTTGATTTTGTGATCGGTTGGATTTGCCGCAGCCTCATAAATGATATTCGTAGGCGCCTTCCCTAATTGCATCCAATCGCCCTTGAAGCCCATATAACAAATACGACTTATGTCCTCCCCATGATTATCCTCCACAAACAGCGTCAGATTCTGTACTTTTCCGAACAAGGCCCTTTTGACCCCTATGTCCTGAATCTCAGATGTTTGACTTAGTTCGAATTCCTGCGTAGGCCGTAGCTCTGACGCGGTGCTGAAATCAATATCGTCGCGATTGATAAACACTTTAAGGGTCTTAGGAGCAGATTCAGAGTTTGACGTGCGGATAAGAATCGAGTGGAGTTTCACTTGGCCGGTGAACCTATTGTATTGGGATGCATATGTTAGCTACGATCGCAATGGAAGATTATTTGGAGGGGTAAAATGGCGGGGTAAACAAACGGGATATGTATCAACAGTTGTTCATCAGCATCGCTCTCGAGCTCTGGTTGCTCATGCATCCGTTCATCCCATGTTTTCTTCACAATGGATTTTCCAGAACCAGAAGTGGCTTCATTTAGTGTGGTTATGTCGTCAAATTTGATGTGCTGGTAGAGTGAGTATTGAAGTGCGGGGGTGATATCATCAGAATGATCGTGACCTTCGTGAGAATGCCCGCCGTGACCGTGGTCATGCTCATCATGACAGTGACTGGACATATTTATTACGTTTTTAATGTCTGCTGAGCTTTGAAAAATTAAGAGGATTTTGTGTCGGGTTCTGAGTTGGGCTGTGGAAAAGTTGTTTTCTCTGTTTACTCACTGGCGGCAAAATCATTGTAGGGAAATTCACCAATCACTGGGTCCATAGTTCCTAAAATTTATTGTTGATGGGTAGTGACATATAGTCGTTGAGGAGTTTAATATGGTTCTTCAGGTACTAAACTTCAGGTACTAAAACTAAATTGAAAGATCCATACTTAAGGGGTGTATACAAATACTTTAACATGAACTACTTTAATCATCACACAAGTAATACAAGATAGATCTTTTGAACCATTTCCAAATCTCACATTGCAGAATCCAACTATCCTTGTACTAAAATTCGAGCCTCGTAAGAGTCATTGAAAGAGTCCAAAAGCATACTCCAACTTGTAATCTAAAAACCTGCTGCCCTACGCTTCTTAGACTTTTTCTTTCCAGGAGTGACGGGGGCAGCCATGCGGCTACCGAAAGCTCCCTTACTCGGTTGAGTCATTGGTAAGTCATTAACAGGCTGTGAGCTGTAAGTGTTGTAGCCAGCTGGTTGACTGCCAAACGGTTGAGCCATAGCTTGAGATGAAGATGCGGCTGCATTCGCACGATCTCGACTCAAGAACCTTTCTGCTCTTCGTTTGCGCCGAGCGTTTTCTCGTCGACTACGGTAATCGTCGTCCCCACTCTCTTCCGCAAGCACGGCTCTCTGAACATCCTCCCAGGAGTATTTAGCTGGGTCTGCGCCTGGGACAGATGGCCATTGGGATAATAGTGAAGCTCTTGCCGCACCAAACTCTATCTTCGGCTCGATGCTAACAGCATACTGGCGAAGTCGCGAAATCGTAGGATCATGTACGACTGCAGGGACGGATATCACTGAAGGAGTAGGCGTGGGCAAGCTGAATTGGGGGTTCTCCATTGCTCGGGATTGAACCTGGGAACTGAAATATGGAGGTGAACTGGCCCTTGAGACTTCGTCAATATCCTTCAATATGTGCATTGAGGTTTCATTCTCAAAGCTTGGTGGAGGTCTCGGGTCGAATTGTTCATTTCGTAGCGAAATACCAACAGAGCTCAGCCATATTTCCATAGCGATTCTGCGTATTGATCTCGCTTTTTCCAAACGAACTGACCCTGGAGTCTTGCGAGGGAGGTTTGTTACCCAGACATTGATTAGTTGATCATATATTTGCAGTAGATTAGGACACGTATCATCGGATGTTTGATCTTCAGAGAAGGTCATTCCGGGACAAGATATCAATTTCGAAATGCGAAATTTAGAAGATGATTCCTCTTCACCCTCATCAAAGGTCTTCATGAAATCCAGAAACTCAGTCACAGTTTTGGCTGCCTCGTCGAGGTCACCTGAAGGAGATGCATTATTCGATAGCTCGAGACAAGTTTTCAATGGCATGCTATCCTTTTGCTTGCCACTTTGCATCTGAATCGAGATATCTCGGAATGCCGTTTCCATGTCAGTATTCGAATCACTGGACATTGGCTTGTTGAATATTCGTTGAAACACCGGTTGCATGTTGATTCTGAGAAGCAGATCTGTGGAGGCTTTATTAAATTTTGATGAAAACTGGCCATTTTGTGTTGTTAAGGAGCCTATCTGATCCACTAAAGCGTCTTCGTCTTCCTCATCAGGAACGATAAAGTCATCTGTAAGACGGCTAGCTGTCATGCGGGTAGCATTATCCGCAATTTTGTGCATCGGCGCAAGCAGGGTGGGCCTTGCAGTCCATTTCTTTTGAGAATCGAGAATCTCAGATGCCCATAGGGAAGATACCAGCTCAAGATTTGGCGTGAGCATCCACGCCTGGTGAAATTTCACTCCTGTTTCCATGAAGTCTAATCCCATTCCCTCAGTGAAGTCTCTGGGTATCAGATATGAGGCGGAACGTATAGAGATACTCTCGGCCTTGAGTGTCTTTTCCTCGCTTATCCCAGGGGATAGCCTGAATCCTCCCTCGAAAGTTCTTGGGCTTTTCCCATCCATAAAAAAAGTGTAGGAATTCAAACGTGAATTCTCGCTAGATGAAATAAATACTGTCAATTCCTTTCCATTTTTGTCCTTAGACATTGTCAATTTCATTGTCTCGTCGGTTGGAGTTCTGTAGTGGCGATGCGAGAGAATAACCTTGATTCCAGAATCCCTGTTCAGACCATCCTCGCCAGTTGGTATGACTTTTAGCCAGAAAATCCGAGTCGTAGTCAAAACAAACAAGTGTGAAAGATCAACAGTGCTGCGCTTGATGTCCAGTATCCAATCTTTCAGCAGTGAAGTGTTGAATGAATAAGATGGTAGCCGCGTTGGCTTTGATTTCGTATCAAAGATTGCAAGGTGTTTTCTGTTTGCGACTATCATAGTGCTCACGCTACCTGCCCAGAGGACTCGGTGCCAGTCGCCAACTTTTCCAGGTAATTTATATGTCGGAATAGCAGGATCTTCGCCAAAATCGTCGTAAACATGCCCCTTTTTGCCTGGCACGATTTGAAAAGCTGAGCGTTTCTTTTGTCGACCTTCAATATCCCAACTACTCCATTGACCAGCGCGATCTACAACTGCAAACTGTCGAGCGTACCACGGGTTAAAACTGACATCCACATGTTCCTCTGATCCAGACTGCTGGCACGTTAAAGTTGCGACAGGATTAGGATCTAGACAGGATGGAGGATATGTAGCAATGTGCCCAGTGGGGGCTATGAAAGGTTTGGGAATATTTCGAAGGACGGGTCTGAAGATTGTTGTCATGGCTGCCTGTCTAACAGCGAACCAGGTACTAAGCTCATTGCCATCGTCGACAGAAGCAATCTGTAAAATTGACCCCCCAGCACCAAACCAATGTCCCTGATCCGTATTGGTAGCACTCATGTAAGATAGTCGGACTCCATTTTGCGACTCCCATCCAAGTTTCTCTGGGCGAGGTTTGACTAGTTTCAGAATATGGCCGGCTTCACCACATGGTATTGCTACTATGAATGCGATTTTGGAACCGGAGGTATGATTGATATCCGCAGCACCTCCAATTGCCATCAATGTACTCGTCTTGAATTGATTCAGTGTCGCATTGGAGCTATCTTTGGACAAGGTTGTAGCAAGACTTCCCCCAGGAAATGTTTCGGGTCGCTTCTTTGCGAGCCATCTCTGTTGAGTTCGAGCAATCTTCGAGCCTATTTTACCGTTTCCTGGGATATCTCGAATCGAGGGAGGAATGCATTGTGTGGATGAAAGAAGTTGCTGAAATCGATGAACTGCGCAAACGAGTGAGTAAGTATTCAATTGAAACAAAGGACCAAACCTACCTCTGCTAACATCTTGCGAAAACGACCATTGCTCTTCATTAATATCGTAAGAGAATTCACCAAAATGACCATGTACCAGGTCGGTTGCCCTGTGGTCAGTCATTTGGTTTTCGCGGACTTCTATTTGCACAATAAACCCTTCCAATCATCGTATTTTCGCAAACTTATTGAGGAGTGATTATAAGAATCAAGAGTGAGATGTGAAATGAATGAAGGGGGTCAGATTTCTATCATAAAAGTGAAAAGCAAAAAAAGGCTGGTCAGGTAAAAATTAAATGATAAATTATTCATTTTTTTCGAGACCGCGATTATGTCGGATTGGCTCCACCGCAAATAGTGCCGGACCTTAAATATTTGGTTTCCTTGCCAACCCGCTTATCGGAAATCAACATTTCGTTCCCATTTCTAGTTTTACATTTTTGCATTCCTTATCACCACCATCACCCATACCTGTGAAATAGTACCTTGACACTCGATCAACCGCACGAAGTTTACCAGCGATCATCATATCACTTCTACTCCCGAATCAAAGTATTTTAATCATCACGATACAATGTCGACAATGTTCGAGCCTTCGCTGTCTACCAGCATGTCTAGCAGTATGATGCGACCACCTTTGTCTTCAGCAGATGCCCCATCAATGGCAGATACACTTCCGAGTATCAATTTTGGCTTTGATGAATTGCGCGACAGGATGGCAAAGTTTACAGTCAAATTTGATGCCTTTATAGAGCAAGGAAGAAAGCGTGTGTTGGAAGAAAGAAACCAATTCCGCATGAATGTAACTGAACTACTTGGTACGAACGAGAGTCATTTGCCCAATGCGCTGCGCATTCAACTAATCCATATTAGAGGATCAACGTATGAAGAAGAGGGATATTGAAGTCTTGACGTCGAAGAGCAGTACACATCAACAAACTCTCGCGAAAGAGGCCGCCGAAACCGCCGAAATGCAAGCAGCGATCGCATCACTGAGCGCTCAACGTGATGCCCAACTTGCAACACGTGAAGCATTGAAAGCCCAGATCGCCGAAACACAAAAGGCTATAAATGGACGACTTGCTGCGCAGAAATCCCATGCTCAATATATCGATAAACAAGCTCGATTCAACGTCCCAGAACTCGACTTCTGGATTTCGAATTTGGGACTCATGATTGAGGGAGCGGGGCAAAATGATCGGTTGAAGTTCATTTTCACGAATTTTGACGAGAATGATTATGATAGAGAGGCTTGGTTTGAGCTTGATACTTCGAAGAGGGACTATGATATTCCGTACTGCAAGCCAAAATTAGAAAAAGAGCAGATTGAAAGGGTGGTGGATAATTTGAACGAAACCCGTGATTTGCGTGTTTTGTTGAAGGGTATGAGAGAACTGTTTGTCGAAGCTGTAAAAAATTGAAGACAGAGAGTGTAGAGTTTAGGGAGGTATCACAAAAGGTTGATATTTGGGTGATCTAATGATAATGACTTTAATTCTTTTGAATGTTATTACTTTGTACTGTTTTCAACTTTGCTCGAATTACCTTCTTTCAGATGAGACTACTCCAGCAGTATTTGCGCCGTTTGATTTTAGAACATATATCCTCTCAGCATCTTGCACTAGATTTCCTCATAATTTAAGCTTTTACCCATAAATAAAAATAAGAAGTCTGATGCCGACATAAATCTGCGTAATACAAAAATAATTATGATTTCATCCAGCTCAGTTCCTTCACCACCGTACCCAAACCCAATTTTCCTTATCTCCAAATCCCCGCTATCCACCTCCGCCCAAATATAAACAACAAACGCGACACCACGAACACAACCATACAAACCCAAAATGGCAGACACATCCCAAAAGCCCGACAAAGCTACCAGTGCGGCACAGGCTCGTCAGGTTATCGATGTCTTTCATGAGATTTCCACACTACTTGTAGGTTCTTCTTTTGGTGCTTGTCGGTTTTTGTTGTGGAAGGGGGGGAAAGGGAGAGCAGAGAAATAGGATTGGAAGATAGTCACAAGATGGGAATGGAAGATATAAGGGAAACAGGAGGGAAAGAGAACAGTGGAGCTTATGCTAACGCGCGATAGAATGCAGAACTCGATCGCGGAACCTTGAGTATTTGTATAAGTCTCATTGAGAATGGGATTAACCCCGAGGCGCTTGCAGTGAGTCTTTCTCCTATTGGCGGATTCTGGAGCTTCTTTTTGCGTGAATTGAGGCTGGGAAGATGAGGAGAAGTGTATAAGGGGATGGGAGGAACACCAAAAGCAATATTTCGGGCGGAAAGGTTAAGAACGCTACAGTAAAACAGTACAGCAAACCACGAGAAGAAAAGCTAACCAATATCCACCCAAAAGACAGTAGTCCGAGAACTCAAAAAAGACGCAGACGAAGTACGAAGACAGATTGCCGAGGGGGGTGTTCTCAATGGCGAATGAATGTGCAGTTACTAGGAAGGGGTTTGGGACAAGGAGCTTATGCTATGGAATTTTAACGTGCTCTTCTTTTGTATACGTTTGAGATAGGGCGTTCTGCGAGGATATACCGAGGCGTTACTGGAGATGCGATGCATGGATCTGGGAGTTTAGTGTATGGGCGGAGAGGATTTCCATAGTGGTTTAGGCATGGCACTACTTGATTTCTTGCCTAAGATGGTTTGATAGCCAGACTTGTAGCCCGCGATCCTCAATGGCGAAAGCCAGACGAGAAGACGGTGAAAACTTCAGTAGACAGTGGTGATGCGATAAAGGCCCCGGTGTCTGTGTGCATGGTGAGACTAAAGCATTCTCAGGAGGCTGCAAGTTATTGAAGGTGGAGTGTAGTCTAGACATTAGAGGCAAATGGGCATCAAAACAAGCTTTGGATATCTCATATATGGCCCTCATTACACCATGAGCAATAGGAACGAGGATTATCGAAGAGCTGACTAAGGTAAACGATCGAGGAATCAATAATTACACAACTCCATATAACTACAAGGTATACATATATCAACCTTCATCCCTGCCTGCCCATGCCCAGAAGAATATCCAGTACGCCTTCCGACCCTTCCTCCAATGTCTTGTCATACAATGCTGTAGCGCTAGAATCAACGCCCAAAAATGCAAGTTCTTTTCATTACCAATCCATGCCAGTGTCAACGGTGTCCAAAAATGGCAAAAGGTTCCTCTTCACCGTCGTCGTCTTCTTCATCATCATTTCCAGATTCCGAGTCACTGGAATCATCTTCATATTCAATATCGTAATCGTCTTGTGCATCTGCGTTCTGTGTCGCTGGTAACAATCTACCGCTTCGCGGTTCGTCTCTTCCCCAGAAATCTAAATCATCTTCATCTCCGGAGCCATCACTTTCGCCGCCAGCCGCTGATTGGCTATTGAACAAGTGTATTCCTCGAGCAGGCGATACTGATCTTCCTAGCCGGGACGGTACGGGATATGGAGAAAATCGACCAGATTCCGCTTGTGATGAAGAGGAGGGTATATGAGAAGAATGCCTGCGGTTCCTGGGAGCACCGGGTATCAAATGAGTAGATGAAGACATTTGATGTTCCTGGCCTGTTTGCATATCGTTCTGTGTATCTCCTGCTCCTGTGGCCGAAGTCTCGACATCTGGGTCACTCAGGATTGACAATTGAGCTGTGTTATATGAATCACAAATGGCACATTTCAGTCCCAACCAGTGGTATTTCACCGCACTTTTAGCATAACAATCGTTGCACGAAACCATTGCCAAAGTGTTTTGAAATTGAGGCGGCATGGGTTGGTTGTCAATGGCTCGATCGAGATTCCGAAATTGTGTCTCCATCCCAACGACACTCTTGCTACATATCGGGCACTTGTACGAAGTTTGCATGTGCTCGATGTAACAAGCTGAGTGAATGCTGTGACCACATATCATGAATACAACGGGTTTTGGTGATGTAAACATGTAGTCTCCACAAATAGGACAATCGCAATCAGATACCCTTTCAATGCATTTGTGGTCATCCATAAGTGACATAGACATGCACACGCCGCAGGTCTGATAATATTGTGAGCAGAATGTAAATTGATTGATTGGCAAGGGTAGACTTTACCTTGCAATGAAAGAAATCTTTGCCCAGACCACGACCCTTTCTACATATTCCACAATCATTGCAATGATAGATGCTTTTATTGGAGTCATTGTCCCACAACTTACACACCCCACAATAATACCAAGCAGTCCTCTCTCCGCACTCAACACAAAATTCCCCAGCCCGTTGAGCACAACCACATATCATACATAGCATATTTTTAGTATCATGACGAATTAAGATGTGATCTTCGACCTCGTCATGACAAAGCCGGCATGTATACCATCGATCACACGTAGAGCATTGTAGCTTCACATTCCTCTTGTAGTGTTTGCATCCGAGCTTGGGCGTAGAATCTTCCGTATTCTCAGATTCTTCGCTTCCATCGTCAATCTCAGGAGGATCAAGGGGTGCATAAGTCTTCATTAAGTCACCCGGAGAGAGGTGGAAAGTGTGAATTTCAGTTGCTGGTGCTTGATCCAAAGTACCATTCATTTGCCAGATGAAAGAGCTCAATGAGTTCGGAGTCGCAGGTCTCTCCTGGCTGATCATTTTGTCTGCGGCCGTGGTTGGTACAAATTTCTTCGCACTGAATATTTCATGAGCTTCAGTGTAACTTTGAGTCAAAAGTTGATGCATCAATAATGCTTTTCGTTCTGTAGGAATGTCCATAGCTTGTATATATATGATGCGTTGTCGAAGAGGACCCATGCCATCATCCGCAGGAAGAGCAGTACTTCCTGCATCAAGTCCCATTGAAGCTGGAGTGGAATTTTGACTTGAGTCTTGAGATGAACCTTCGATAGAACTCATAGGGAAATTGGCGGCGTTGAGGGCGGCACTGCTAGACGATCCTTCTGTGATGTTGCCCTGAGTCAGGGATGCTACTCTGGAAGAAGCGGTACCAGACATATTGTTGTCAACTGGACTTATATTCGACTGTGAATGAGAGCTTGCCAACGCATCAGTATCGTCATGGTTGGCATCATGTCGAAGGCTCTCAATATCGCCCGACGAACTTCCTTCATGAGTTGAAATTTGATTCAGAGAACTCCCAGTTATGCCACCGTCGCCTACAAACTCTCCCGTATCCGGCAGATTCATAGTTGACTCCATTTCCGTCGCATCTTCTATGACGGTCTCGCCAACCTCATTATTGCTGCTTCCTGGGATGAGGTGCGGGTTTAATGTATCATTCGAGTCGTGGGCATGAACAGGCTCGGATCGTGAAAACCGTCTGGCCTGTCTCAGAACTGGATTAATCAAAAACTCGGAAACAAGAGAGGTCATTTAGTGACATTTGCTGCTCATATGAAGCTATTTTGTAATTTTGTTTATATCAACTTCGGAAAGTTAATAAGTTAATATTTAATGTCCAAATTTGGATAGAATCAGATTATCAGATTGTCTAGTCTAACTTTGGAGGCAAGGCCGATGACGCGCTACTCGGAACCATCCGAAACATGCCCCGTAACATTTTCACATGCGATCGGAGTTTCAGATGTACCGATATCAATTTATTTTATTGTGAATTGCGTCAAACAAAAGACAAAAGCCAAACCGCCTACGCGAAAATATCATTCAAACGATCATGTCACCTACACAGAAGGATTATATATACGCCTATCGAGGTCTCTACCGAGCTCTACTACATGCTGTACAATATGCAAAGCCAGCACGATACATGGGAAGAAACATGCTGAGGGACGAGTTTCGCAAGGGAAATCCGAAAACTTTTGATCAAGGACGAATCGACAATACTATAAACTTTTTGAACCTTGCGGCGAAAGAAACTGGTCTTGAGCACAAATTGGTCAAGAACCTATTAAGGGTAAAGTACGAGCGTGGGATTCAATGGAAAGCGTAAATATTCCTTCAATATATAGATACAGATATCGATATTGCAATTCTGATCCTCTCGTAGGCAACTCAGGGAAAGACATCCTATGCAGATACATCTGAGGAAAAACAGCATGACACATTACGACAAAACCATTGAGATGCTTAACGAAAGTATGGGACTATGTCTACGTTAAGGGCATCACAAGTAGCAGAGAGAAAAGCAATTTATCGACTTCATGACTTCACGCTTATCATCATCCTAAAGCAGTTTCTAGAACGTATCCCTTTGCGGAATACAGTACATTTAGCCAAAGTCTAAATCCCAATGCCGCTCAACAAGCAGAGGCTGGTGGATGGTTGCCATATATCTTGACAATCGATAGCCAAGAGCTATAAATGATATTGGGGGTGTCGACAGTATAATCAGCGCATGGCTCAGTTGATTAGATGGTAGACGAACGGTCATACCATGATTGCCTGATGTTACCGCTGGTTGGGGATTGTACTTGGAGACGAAGTCCGCAAGCTAGGTTTAAGGATTGTTGGCAAGAGCTTACTTACAGCCTCACAGACTTATCTTACAGAGTATGGCAATAATGTATAACGAATGATATTGATGAGATCATTTCAGATGACTATCATGAATAGCCTGATGGTATCCGAGGTTAAGTTCTCGATGCCGCCCTATTTCAGCCGATAGCTACCGAAGTGCTGCGTTCAACAATAACTATGACTCTAATAATATAATAAGTACTACCTAGCTATACAAGTGCTTCTCCATTCTCTTCTTCATTTGGAGAGTGGCTGGTGTATGTCCCCTGTCGTCAACGTCTCTGCACGCCCATGAACGCCCAGGTGGTGGATGTCGTCTCTTGTGTTTCCTTCCCCTTATCGAAAGGTAATGGTATCACTGCGGGGCTTATCCAAATCCAATGATTACAATCTAAACAAACTGCCCTTGCTGCAATGCATCATTACAGTTTACATTCTTGTTACCTTTTCCTTTGAGTTAAATGTAAATGATACGTCAAGTCAAGTGGGGGTTGATTCTTTGTTCGAAAGCAAACGACCATCGTGATAGATTTCCTTTTTTGATATAGTTAGTCACCTAGGTAGTATTGAGAAGTAAGTACTCGAATACCCAACTAGTCAAATACTCAAATACTCAAATACTTGGTATTTACTAGGTGATTTGCTTGAAAGGTCATCGACTCCGTAGATTGTATTTGTATTGTATTGTATTGTATTGTATTGTACGGAGAAGCTGCACAAAGTGGATCCCGCTCTTAGCGAATTCCTTCCCAAGAACATGAGATTGATAAACTGACACTGACTTCTCGAATGAAGAAATGATTTGCGTTAAATCCAAACCAACTTCCAAGCCTACGTAACTTGAACGAAAAGTACCTCAGTCCTTGAGTCTCTATTCCTCGCTATTCCTAAGCCAAATCTTTGTGACGCCTCTGGTTGGCTCTAATCCTCCTTTCGCACTACCCGTATCTCGATTCTCCATATATTATATATCTCTCAACCCCGCCTTCTCACAATACATACCTGATTCACTTTCCCCAGACTCTCCATCTTCTTTCGGCTGCCACATCTTGCAGGGCAATTCTTCCGCTCGATTTTATAATCGACAGAAGACTCATGGACGATCATTGGCATTCGCCCTTATCGCGATCGCGTTGAGGACTCTGGTCGATTGACCACTGTCTTCCAGCGCTCGCTACGAATAATACCTTCCATTATGCCTGTTAAGCCTGGTCAACATGATATGATCAACCAACAACAACTACTACTTCTTCATCAAGAAAGATCGAAGGCACAGAAAAAATGGCTGAAACAATATCGAACAGAAGTTGCTGCGTCTGTCAGCAGCATCTGTTCTACCTTCTGCGCAGTGAGTTTCTCCGTGCTATGTGTTCAATGCAACCGCTGATTGCTTGTAGTTTCCATTGGACTCTGTAAAAACGCGAATGCAGACATACAAATATAATAACTTTACGGATTGTGTCCGACGTACATATCAAACGGAAAAATTACGAGGATTCTTTCGTGGTGTTGCGGCACCTTTAGCTTCAGTAACTCTGGTCCGAACAATATCTTTCTCGGTCTATCAGCGTTCAAAGTATACATACTCAGCTTGGTTCAAGAGAAACTTTGACGTCGATCCATTGGTGCATATCAATACATTTGGAACATATCCTACCCTTTCAACTGTTGCTTGTTTTGGAGCTGCCGGCGCCACAGCTGGATCGTTTATAACGCTTGTAGCTTGTGAGTGGATCGACTAAGTTTATTACTGTTTCTTCACGTTTCTAACATTATTTAGGTCCCTTCGAGTTGACGAAGCTTAGTGCCCAAGTATCGGTATTGATGGCTACTAAACGGCAAACAAGCCTTTCTGATCCCGTTAGAAACTCTCCTATGCAGAATGCGACTGCAGCGAGCTATAAAGATAAGGGAACATTTAAAACCGCTATGAACATTGTCAAGAATCGTGGGGTGTCAGGCCTCTATTCTGGATTCAACCTTCACCTTCGTGAGACAATTCTCCAATCCAAGATTGCTTGCACAGACTAATCTCGTCTTATACAGTTCGGGATACACTAGGGACTGCTATCTACTTTATGACTTATGAAAGTTGTAAGCAACTCTTGACTACATATACAGGGTCAAAAGGCACAACGAGTCCATTTGCTGTCGTTGTCGCTGGCGGTTTCTGCGGCGTAGCGAGCTGGGCATTGATTGTGCGTCAAAGAACCATATTCTTGTAGTGTTAGCCAAGCAACTAACGATGGATAGTACCCAATTGACTCTGCTAAAAGCATTTATCAGCGAAATTGTCTGACTTGCTGCAAAGGCGAGACCGTTCAGAAGGCACCAAAAATTAGATTTTTCGACAAAAAAATGTACCGAGGCTTGGGTGTATCCATGGGCAGATCGTGCGTTGTAAATTCAATCTTTTTTTCGGTATTTGAATGTAAGTGAACTCCATAGACTCAACAACTACATCACTAACAAGTTGTAGTCATCAAGAAAAATGTAAATGCAATTCCAGAATGATGGAGTATCTGGAGATGGAGGTATAGTCTTTTGTAAATATCCTCTTTTTGTATGGCAATTTGGCGATGCACAAGCATTAAGGAAATGGAGTTTTCAGGGAGCATAATGGCTAAGGTCAAGTCTGCATGGAATAAGGAGAATTATCTGAACTTTGAGTTTGATATCAAGGCACTCGAAACGAGCAAGGTTTGCTAAATAAATGGATGGCAATAGTAGGAGATTGAATGAAGATTTTGCATTCGCTAAGTCTTAGATTGGTAGTTAATAATGAATACATGGAATTTGAATTGAAACTGTAGTTAGATGGAAATAAATATACATTCAAACCACTCACGGTTGCAGTTGATCTCTTTGGGTGGGTGTCGATCTTTGTGTAAAGAGTCGCCTGAATTCTCCATCATCTACATCAACGCCTCCGTCCTTCGTTCCCCTATTTCGCTTTCGCTTGTCGAATGCATGTGCTGTATGTATAGTAACGGGCATTGTGGAAGGGGCCGAAAGATGGACTAGTGAACCTGTTGATCTCCAGATTCGCATTTGTACCTCCGCGGTGTGCACTTATAAGTTTTAACGACTCTCAGTATTGGCAAGAAGATAGAGGGACTCAATGGAGAAAGCTTCAGGTGCTCGATGATTCGGATGGAATTTTCATTTCGTGTGTTATCCGAAGCACGTTAGTGGTATTTCCATCAAGTTGTCCCTCAGGATCATGATTTAGCTCTTTTGAAGCGGTCGGCTTTTGATGTTTTGGTAGGGCGATACATAGATACTTGGAGAGAGAGAGATACGAGATTTCTGGTCAGATGTGAAGGGGGAGCTGATATCAATAATCATCGTTTGCTCGCTGTCAATGCATTCTTGAAAGTCTGTGGCTGTTTTGTGGTTTGTCTCGTGGGCTGAATGTCTTGTTATTTGGTAGCTTCAGATGTTGAGCATTGGAAGGGATTACAGATAGTGGGAAGCTGGATATAGGAGAATCGGGTACGGAAAATTGAGTTTCGGATAAAGGTATGGATGGATACTTGAAAGACGACCGCGGATCTGGGCCGCTTTGTGCATTTCTTCTATTTCATGGATTGTTGGAAAGTACAGAAGTTAGTTTGTTGCTGAGTGAGGAAGTGTGTATATATTGGTGAGAATTGGGGGGATAGAGAATGGGATGAATATACGGAAGATGTGCTGTTGAGTATGTTGAGTTGAAAACTACACAACAGTAGCAAGAGTTTGCGCCGCATATTCCCATGGCAAGAACTGTATATGTCCAGGTACCAGAATTCCGTCCAATGCTGCATTATCTTGACCTATGAAAGGGCGATGAAATCGCGGACGAAGTATTTTCTACTACGAAAAATTGAACTCATGGCGGTTTTGCTCGTCTCGTATGGTTTCTCGCGAGCGATTGTATCTACGATAGATATTGCAAGTGAGTCTCAAGAAGAAAATCCAATTCTCAAAGTCTTTTATCAAATATTCTCCTGTACGATAGTGCCCTATCCTACGGAGTTGCCTTCATATTCTAAAGCAAAAGTAGGTATCTGTTCGCGGCTGATTGTTCATAAAACATGATTGCTGGAAGCTGAAGAACATTGGGTCAAAAGATCATGCCTTAATTTCTCAGTTGGAACTAGTTGTATTTGTCCCTTCGCGTGCATCGAAAACCTAGGATGGGAACGCGTAGTATTTGAGATGGATCAAAGCAACCCGATCTAGACCTGCCTTTCCACCAAGGCACGATCTGTACCGCTCACCTGAATCAACCATAGGAGGTACCGTTGAAACGGTAGGTCTTGTGATTGAAGCCGCCTTCGAATTTCTCAAGGATATCCCTCAAGCTACTGGACAGTTAATGATTAACATATCTCTACCTCGGCATTTCTGATCCTGCTCCTATTGCACTCTGGTGAGCAGCATTATGGGATTGCGTTCATGTTAACATGGATCTTTCAAATACGATGGAGAAACTCCGCAAGTGAAATGGTGATCTTGAGATCTTATAGGAAGGTCTTATTACTGAGCACTGGTTCCATGAAGCAAAGTTTGAAATGAGAGATCGTGGCAGAGAAAGATATTGAAACCAAAGTCATAGAAGAGGTTTGCGTCGCCGAATGTGATTTCACGCAATTTGATTTGAAGAGAGACCCCACCACAGGCTTATTCTTAGCTACAGATTTCTGCTTTTTGAGCCGTGGAGCCTCGCCAGATGTTGTTTGAATAAAGCCTGTTATCACAAGCACATAGCTTTGTCTTTCAGAGCAGCTGATGCTCCAGTTGCAGCCACTGACTCTGGTTTGCTGCTGCCTGATGCAGTAACAAGAGCAGATGACTGTCGCCCTACTTGTATTGTACCAGAACAATTCTCTCTTCCGAAACATAAACGATATTTTACACAAATAGAACATCACTCCGTGATTCTGCACACCCATTGTTGTCTAGATTCCAACAGTATTCTGAGAGATAATGCATAGCAAGCCTCAAATCCACACTCGTGAAGGAGCTGAACTTAGAATACACAAGTACTGTTTTGGGCACTTCCCATAGGTACCTAGGTATGCTTTAGCCAGCATATCTGCGACCCTACCCATTCAAGCTACATACGAACTCTTGTAGTTTCTTCTATGTTGAGCAAGAGCTTCAGCGAGATATAACATTACGACATGATTTGAAATACCTCTAATATGTCCGGTCTTCACTTTTAGTAATAAGTATTCAAGAAGAAGAACATTCTTTGCCGCCGTATGCTGACTGAAATGTCGTGTTGGACTATTAGCATTTCATATAAATACTCTGCCATGATAATATCAAGACAATTTCATCAATATACCTAGTATTCACATATAGACACATACAAATATACGGCCTCGACGTGGTTCATTCATACAGCAGAAGTGAATAATCGATGTAATTGTCATGTCAAATCAACCTCAATTGCCCCGCGGCAAGATTCTGCGGGACCTGCCACTCGCTTCACACGCGCGCTAGGATTACGATTACCTACTGTACGCTGCCCACCCCGAGGACCGTTTGCTCTTTCTCCAAAGTTTGCGACACATAAGATTTTCATTCTTCCATCTCAATCATTTTCATTGAAAACAACACGCAAACAACCTTTTCCGTTTTCTAACACCAGAACACTGGATGTATTGTTAGGACGTATCGTGATTCTCTATTTTCTTATCAGCCTAGCATAAGCTGCTGATTTCACTTTGAGAGAGTTGTTATCGTGCCTTTTTATCAGCGCTTCTGCGCACTAATCTCTTTCTTTTAATAGGTCATAAGATTCTTATGGTAAGTCGAGGATAGTACTCGATATGGTGGGTAAAAGAAGAAAAGCCCTCCTGGCAAAAGGAGTCCTCAAGAATCCGAAAGCGGAAGCTGCCCGAGAAGCTTCGAAGGCCAAAAAGGCTCAAAAGAGTCTATCGGCTCGAGCTGGTAAGGAAGACCGCCGTGCTAAAAAACTGGAACGTCGGAAGAAAGAGAAGAAATCATATACTGCACAAGATTGGGCAGAGCCTGCCCCAGATCATTTGATTGCCAAGTTAGATCTTCCCAAGCATAGTTCTAAGTATCAATCGTATTTCGAATTTGCGGAGAATACAGAAAAGAAGAAGAAGTTGGAGTTTCAGGTATTTAGTTATGCAATATGTTTTTACCATATTGACTTGCGTTCAGGTCACAAATGATCCCAATCCTCCACCAGGATTCACCTATGTCCCCATTGGAGATCCGACTTTGACGAATGCTTGCAAAGAATTATCGCGAGAACAAAATGCTATGATCTTTATTGTTTCGGTAAGATTGACCGACAGGCCTATTTGTGCTGAGTGCAAGACTACACCTACTGACTTCATATCTTTCTACAGCGCTCGAAAGAGGACAACTCGAAAATTTCCGAGCACGTATTTCGAACCGGATATCACTTTCGAGAAGTCATCGTGGACGAAGCCCGCAAAGCTGTCGGCGACACCGTTATTTCGAACACGACCCATGGATTAATTGAGCCAATACCAGAATCCCAAGACGAGATAAACAAACAAGCAGACGCTGCAATACGCGATCTTTTTCCAAGAATACCTAATACTGATCGACAGAGGATTATAGAGCATGCTTTTCAAAAAGGTATCAAATTTCATGGAGAACCTACGGTCGGCCTACAAGCCGACCTTCCCTTGGCACGTCGAGTTCAGCTCGCTGTTCTTGCTCACATTCGTCATACACACACTAGATATGACAAGCTACTCAAGGAAACCAGTTGGATAAATGCACGAAAGGTAGTTGAGCCTGTGTGTTTAGATGTCCTTGTCAAATGGCGAGGAGATGAGGAAACTGGGCGTGATCAAATGGATGAGATCTTACGAGAAGTTGTCATTATAACTGATTCCGACGATGAAGATGACGACTCTGATGAAGACGATGATTCAGATGAATCCTCGGAAGAGGGAGAGACATCCATCGGATCTGCTGCTCCGGCCCTTCATGATGGTTCACAGAGGCGGCAACCTTTGATGACTGAGCAAGATTCCTACGCGAATGTTGCTGGCCCCTCAGACTCTATTTCTTCTCATACACGATCTAGAGCAAGGCAAAATGAAGGATTGAGAAGACCCCAGCCTCGCTTCAAGCGATACCAAGCTGCATGGGATGAGGCCGTCAATCGAGGTCAGAATAACGCTCTTGAATCTAACGAGCGAAGTATGCAAGGATATGAGGCAAGTATGAGACCCACCCAACCTAATGATGCACCACATTACCAAGAGATACCTCGACGACAAGCACCTATCGCTGCACCACGTCCTCACGTGGAGCCGGAGTATATCTATCGTGACACAGAGCCTCGGCATAGTGTTCCGCCTGAACAACAAGTAGGTCCAGTTTGGAGGAGACAGGTAGAGAAAGCTTCGTGACTAATATTTACAGATTCGCTATTACTACCAACAGGAGCGGGCACCTTCAAGGACGTTGCTTCGCAGGAATGAGGTAACAGTTAGACCCCTGCATGACCGCCCAACTTTTCAACCTCCACATTTTGATACTGCCCCACAAGTGAGCAGAGAGCCAAGATCCCAAGGAGTTGTCAGAGTTTCCCCAACTAGGTCTGGATTCCAAGACTTGCTTGCTTTATCCATTGAAACCCAAAATGATAGTATGAATGTTTCACCTCATTTGGATCGAGGTACTGCTGTTCGCGACTTGGGCCACCATCAAGAATCTTATCCAAGACACGTGGTTGAAGGGAGTAGATTGACACCTAGGCCCCGAGAAGTCATTCTCATTGATGATGATGATGATAATGATGATAGCCCATATTCTAAACGCCGTCGTGTGATTGAAGATGATCATGGGCGATTCAGGCCTTATCCTTCCAGGGTGCAGAATACCCATACCGCCCCAAATTTCTCTTACGGGGACGCCAACAGGCGTTCCGTTGCATTGCCCAGATACACTGAAGGTTTGTCACAAAACTTGCCATTAGCATCTTCACGACCTATACTTTCAGAACGAGTGCCTATTTATGATGCGCCTGATTCCAGACCATATGAAATGCATTCAAGTCTATCCAGGCGAGAAGATGAGAGGCTCTTGTACCAGCAACCTGTATCTTACTCGAGACGAGAGATGCCTGCGCCACGTCCTTATTTGACCAATTCTGATGAGACATACAATCCTCAGCGAGTGGCTAATGATAGTGTGAAAGTCGCTAAGCGTGATCAATTTGTACGACGAGAACAAGTTGAACCTGGTCAGAGGTATTATCTTCAAAGACCAGCGTCGCCTGATATGCATGACCTAAGAAGAATTTCTCATCCTCAAACTGTGGATGGTCCTGCAGACCAAGCTTTCATTCAAAGTTTCTCTCAATCTGGACTTGAATCCCCCATTTCTCGGCCACAAGATGGTCCTGTTTCTTATCAGAGATTTGCTCCAAATGTTCATCGTCAAGGCGAGTCGCTAGATCAAGCAGCTAGGTCATTCACAGTCATGCGTCCTGTTCAATCAAGAACTCCAGTACGATATTTAGATAGAGTAGAGTGAGTGGGCTCGAGTAACCAAGAGTGACATAGGAATCGCTAACTTTTTTCCCCTTAGAAGATCTGGTGATAGATATGGTCCACCGGTATACTACGAGAGACGTGATCCGTATACTATTGAGCGACATATTCCGAATACCATGCGTGTTTCGGTGCCGCCAGACCCTCATCACCAGACAAATCCTCGGGCTATGCATCCTGGGCGTCAAGTTATTGTGTTGGATTAGTTTTGGAGTAGTTTTCGAGAGATGAGGTGCCTCGAAGGAGGGACAGTTGAGCTCTTGAGGCTCCTGTCTGAGGCTTCTACAGCTTGTTTCCGTAGTTAGGATTCATATGTATCTTGCATTGGGAGTAACTGGCGCACGATTCATTTATTCATCGGTAAACGATAGGTCTTGTATCTGGATGGGAGGCGTACATGGTGCCATTGTTTTGCGCCCCTGGCTGCGTGGGCTTACCTGCATGAGCGTGGAGCATGGAAATCGCATCAAGGGACCAAAATTATTTGCATTAAAACGGCGTCACAGAGTGGCAGATGGAAAGTGCATTTTTGAACTTGGTGGTAACGTCGAGTTATTTCAGGAAAGTCTGATTTAATAGGTTTCGGTACTCATGCCCTAAGGGATCAGTACAGTCTATAATATATACACAACCGCAATTGTATGACTTTCTTCTCAGTCAGTCCCCAATAATTACTGAATCCATATATGCATCTGATGATTTCAAAGAGTGTGAAAGTATGATTCGGGTATCCAACCAATGCTCGCATAAACTCCTTTAAATGCCCAACAATAAAATATAACTCCTATGCCAACATTGCAACCTGTTGTTCCTCTCGCTCACGTTGTCTTGCTTTCGCCCTGTCTTTACTCGAAAGTTCTGACCTCGGCACATCAGGCAAGGAATCTTTCAATGGTAATCCCGCTGTAGGAACCTCAGGTAGCGGAACACCTGTAACTTCTGCTTCCAAAGCAGCCAATTCATCTTCTACCTCATCTTCATCCTGGTTTGACATCATGCCTCCCAGCATATCGCTCACCTCCTAGAACTCAAGTCAGTAAAATAGCCACTTATAACATGAAATAGCGCTTGCCTGTTGATAAGCAATTGCATCCGCCGTCTCTCCCATCAACTTTTCCACGTGATCCAACCCTCCCATTTCCTTGTGTATCTGGTTCAGCACATTTGTACCTTGTTGTAAACCAAATACAACATCCTTTTGTACCAGCGCAAACTCCACACTACTAGTCAATTTCTCCAGTTGCTCGAGTTGCGCATCCGTCTTTGCCAGCAAAGATTCTTGATATTTTTTCCGTCGCAGTGCTAGGAGAGCTCGTTTTTTATCTCCTTTCGCCAACATTTCTTTTGCGATAGCGGTTTCGCGGTCAGTGAGTACAGCTATACGTCGTTGATATTGGTGAAGCTTGTCCCGCTGGTTCTTCATGTCCAGGATAGCTCTGGAGTCAAGGAGTCAGTGAATGCAGACTTGAAGAATAGCTGAGAAGCTCCTTACTTATCCTGGGCGGAAATCTTATGAGTACTGGGTGTATTCCCCATCGTTGATTTGTTGAAACCACTTGCTCGCAGTTAGAGGGATGCATTCCGTAGAGTCCTGCTCCAGGACTTGAATGTTTGGAAACGGCGTCATGGCGGTCGGCGCTGATAAGCGATAAGAATTATTCCGCGCGGGACTTACCGTTTTTGGGAGAGGTCAACATTTTTTTTATTTTCAAACATTGATGCGACTTGGGAGTTCGAATAACTTCGGGCACACTTTACTCGAGGTTGTCTGGAAGGTTCACTATGATTTCTAGAGGCGGAAGGCTAAGTTTGAGCCAAGGACTAGACAAGGAGGTATGGATTGCTCACGGCGCAAACATGAACTCGAATTGTAGCTTGTTTACTAAAAGTTTATGCAGATATATCAAATTGTAAGGAAATTGGCAGATGAACAGGCACAGAGCCAGAAAGGACCAAAGCGTCTCACAATCTCTATTGTCTATGATAGTATCAAAAATTCGAATTCAAGTCTAAAAAGAAGATCAAAAAAATTGCTGGAAGATTCAATTGATAGAGTGCTGTTGGTGTTGAAGGAAGAACAAGATGATAGTGATTCCGTAGATGGGGATTTTGAAGGATTGGAGGAGGCGGCACCACCGCTAAAAGTATATAAGTCGCAAGCTGTTGAAGTGATATACTGACTTGTCTATTAGGAACATAACATAATGAATAAAAGTATCACCAAAGGCTGGGGAAAACCAGCAACATTACCTACAATGAGCTCTCTGAGCGGTACGCCTTCTGCGAGTGGGGCTACTACACCTATGGCTCAACTTCAGACCAACCCTCTCGGCAATGGGGAGGTTGAATCACCGATGAAATCAGATCGACAAGCAAACGGGGAACCAAAATCCAAACGTCGGAAAGCAGAACGAGAAGTTAAAAAAGATGTGGATAGGGCACCGCCGACGGACATCTCGTTGGAGAATCTCGGAGGAGTGGATAATGTTATTGAGGAATTGAACGAGCTTGTAGCGATGCCAATGCTATATCCGGAAACATATATAAGGACGGGAATTCAACCACCTCGAGGAGTTCTACTCCATGGGCCACCCGGTTGTGGTAAAACGATGATCGCAAACGCCTTTGCTGCAGAAATAGGAGTATCATTCATTCCAATATCTGCACCATCTTTAGTGGCTGGTATGTCTGGAGAATCAGAAAAGAAAATTAGGGACGTTTTCGACGAGGCAAAACGTATGGCACCGTGTCTTGTTTTCATCGATGAGATTGATGTCATCATGGGCAAACGTGAAAGTGCTCAGAGGGAGATGGAAAAACGAATTGTTGCTCAAATGCTCACATCCATGGATGACATGGCTTTGGAGAAAACGGGTGGTAAACCTGTCATTATAATCGCTGCCACAAATCGACCTGACAGTCTTGACCCGGCTCTTCGAAGAGCGGGCCGTTTCAACAAGGAAATCAATTTGGGGGTTCCAAACGAAGCTGCTCGAGAGAAGATTCTTCGTGCTCTTACTCAAAAGCTCGTCTTGACTGATGACTTCAACTTTCATGCTTTGGCAAAGATGACCCCTGGATTTGTGGGTGCCGATTTAAATGATGTTGTGTCTGTTGCAGGTACAGAAGCAATGAAGCGTATGATGGAAGCTTTGAAACAAAGAACTGCCTCTACCATGGAACTTGATACTCCATTACGAAGTGCCACATCCATGGAGCTCGACACTCCGATACTGAAGGATAGCACCTCCGAAGCTCTTCTCGTTCTGAGGTCTCTCGTCGCAAATGCTGGAGGCTCAGCTCCCGACGGTGATTTTTCTATCAAATATACCGATTTTCTTGCAGCTATACCCAAAGTTCAACCATCGGCGAAACGAGAGGGATTTGCAACAATTCCAGATACAACTTGGGCTCATGTCGGTGCTTTGCACGAGGTACGAGAGCAACTCGAAATGGCCATTGTCGAACCAATCAAACGACCGGAATCTTTTGCTCGGGTTGGTATCACAGCTCCAACAGGAGTATTACTTTGGGGACCACCTGGATGTGGTAAAACCCTTCTTGCTAAGGCTGTCGCCAACGAATCTAAGGCCAATTTTATTTCCATTAAAGGTCCTGAACTTCTCAATAAATATGTTGGAGAATCTGAGAGGGCTGTTAGACAAGTCTTTGAGCGCGCTAGATCATCCATACCATGTATTCTCTTCTTTGATGAATTGGATGCATTGGTTCCCAAACGTGAAGACTCTTTGTCAGAAGCCAGCAGTAAAGTCGTCAACACCCTCCTCACTGAGCTTGATGGTCTAAGCAATAGAGCTGGTATTTACGTTGTAGGCGCCACTAATCGACCTGATATGATTGATCCTGCTATGCTCCGTCCAGGTCGTCTTGGAACATCAGTTTTCGTCGATCTTCCAACTCCTGATGAACGTGTGGAAATCCTTAAGGCTCTCTATAGAAAAGCACTGCCACTTGCCAGCGCACAAGAAATCGAGGCACTAGGCCCAGTAGCGAGAGATGAGAGGTGCAATGGCTACAGTGGAGCGGATTTGGGCAACTTACATCAAGCTGCTGCGGTGGCAGCGTTGAAGAGGGAGATGAGCATGGTAGCACAGGGACAGGCGACCATGGAAGATGAGTTGAAGATTGGAGCGGCGGACTGGGAGGTTGCGTTGGGTAAGATAAAGGCGAGTGTTAAAGATGCGGGGAAATACAGGAGGTTGAGGGATAGGGGAATGTAGAGCATAGATGCCCCATTCAATATCAAGTTAAGAATCACAAATCGTGTATTCTATTGTTCATAGGTCATTGGATATGTTTTTGCATATAATAACACTGTGAATTACATTAACTTGTAGCACTTTTTGATTTCTCTTTCTCATTCTAGTTTCATTAACGGAATCTAGAATGATCATCTCTCCGTGGCGAATTCAATCTGATATAAGCATTTGCTCCCGGTGAGCTCGCATCGTTTCAACAGCTTTCGCATGTGGCCTGTGCCAGCGCCCACCTTCTCACATTCGTCGCATCAACTGAGTTTCTAGAAACACTACAACATTGAAATCATTCTCATCATTTTACGACACGCTGCATTTTAACCCCTTATCTTACGCTTGTATTGTCTACTAATAATTCTAATTGCATAATATTCTACTTTCCCATTCAACTGTTTGAAATCCCATTGCTTCTTTCATATGCATAGAAATTCTATTCTTTCTGTTCTTTGACCTTACTCCACCACGAAACGAGCCCTTCCAATACCCAATACCGAGTACCAACTTCCCGCCTCCTTGATCCCCTACCATCTATTATTCAAAGACTGTCCAACCTCCAACTGAAAGTTGAGCTAGATTGTCAATCACTGCTTTCAAAATCTCACGAATAGGATCCTTATCAAATATGTCCACGCCCATCATAACCACTACCACCACGACCACTACTACTACCACTACCAGTCCCCCATCTCTTCCCGCAAACTTCACATTCGCTCCCTCGACTTTATATATTCTACTTGCGGATATAGGCCATGAATCGCTTTGTAAGTTCTATTAATTACCAGTGGTTTCGTAGCTTTTCGTCATCCAAATCGTTTTAGTAAACGAGCATTGTTCGGGAAACTTTGATTATAATTCCCCGTTTAACCTTATTTGTTACAAATATGAAATTGATGCACTCATTTCATTTATAACAAAAAAATTCAAAAATTTGCAATTTTATCAATTGATGTACAAAAATACTTACACATAAACACCACACTCTAGTCCACTGGGGCTACCTCCTCACCTCTGCTCCTCCTCCCGCTACGCGTACCCCTTTTCTCACTCCCGTGACCGGCACCATTTGTACGTATATCTTGCATCTTTCTTCCCCGCCCTCCTGTCCTTCTCCTCAGCTCACACAAACCCCAGTCCACATAAGCAACATGACCGGCCCCTGGCTCTACCAATCCCCTACATTCCCCCTCGCGCACCTTCTGAAATTCATCCCCTCCCTCCTCTTCATCCTCAAAATATGTTCCGTAGATACAATTCTACACCCCGCGCTCTCAGAACGTCTAGGGATATTAGGTCTCCAAGCACAGCTGAAAAGCATGGAATCCAAGATTTCCCAATCACAAGATTCGCATCCGGGGACGGAAGATGGCCAGAAAGAGGAAAATGAGAAGTACTCGCAAGAGGAGAAAGAAATGGTGTCCTCGGAATCAGAAATTTCATGTAGAACATGGATTAAATCTACCCTTTGTGTTTTGGATGAAGAAGGATATATTTCGTTTCCCGAAACCTCGCATCGGCTGAGCTCGAAGACGGTGGTGGATAGTATCGAAGCGGAGGCGGTGGCGGGAGCGGGTTGGAATAGGATGAGGGGGACGGTGGGCTGGGATCGGAGTGTATGGGTTGGGGAGTAGAGTGATGAGTGGGACGGATAGGATTCACAAGATGCATGAGATGAAGCCGGTCTCAATCACTTGTGAAATGATGGATAGTTTGGAGTGGAATAATATAGGATCTTTCGGCGAAGCATACCGCTGTCGTTCTTATCATACACGATAATAGGGGCTTGTACATTTTGTATGTCCAGGTTCTCACTCTCACAATCTCTTATAACTTTGGAATATCAAATAGTAATCCAAGTACAAATCAAGTTGAATTCACTTCCCACATTGTTTCATTCCATTCCAGGTCTATTTACAAAATACAGTGTGGCCAACATTTAAAGGCCAAACTTCTCCTATCAGCTAAAATTTTCAACTCCGTATTATCCATCCATCACTCCATATGTCCATCTAGTCCTGAAAAAATAATCTCCAAACCACCTCGAACTCATCCAATTCCTATCAAGTAAAACACATCCCAGTGAAGGTAGTAAAATCATTTTGCCCAAATATGTATTCAAAAGCTTGATCAAATTTAAAAAGCCTCCAACCTTCTTCCCTTCCTTCTTCCCCTTCCAAATTGAAACTAGAGCAATAGTCATGCTCAGTATGGTATCTAAAATCAAAAGTGAAGCAAGCGCAAACAAATTCCCCCAAATATGTATTGACATTGAATAGATAAGTTTATTTAATATGTAAAGAGTCTCGAATGAGACTCGAGCAAGAATCTTAGGTGTTTCACAAACTGAATACGAAGCAACCTCCTAAAGTGAGCAATATCGCATATGTTTTTCGCTATGATGTAAAGTGATGATGAGCGTTATGTCGTTAAAAAGTATTCAAAGTATCAAAACCCAGCGGTGCTCTTCTTTCGGCGACCGAAGAATCGACTTGCGAATGAACTCTCCTCCTTTGCGTGAACGAAAGGTTTAGGTTCTATTGATGGAGGTGGTTCCGAGTTTCGTAAAAAGTCTGCAAGATCGCTGGTTTGAGATCTGAACTTAACTGGAACAGGTTCGCGACTTTCATAAGGCTTGCGAACAACATTTGAGCCCGAGGTTGCTCGTGGAAGTTCGGGTTGCCGGTTATGATTTCCCTGGCTACTGCCAACGGCGGGGGGAGCATTGAATTGAGGGTTGATTGGCGCAAGAGGCGTGTGCTTTGTGGGTGCGGTGCGGGAGTTTGCAGAATGTGATGTTTTGGGTGGCTGAACTTGAGAAGTTGAGCCACTTCGGGTGAAACGTGAAGAGAAGCTGGCCTTCTTCTTAGGTGGCTTAGGAGGTTCGGCGAAAACAGACGTCATCTTGGGTGAAGGCGGTGGAGGTACATTGCGGAGAAAGTCGGCCAAAGACTCTTCTTTGATGGGTGCCGGCCTGGAAGAAGGCTCAAATTCGTCGTCATCTTCCTCATCGCTGATATCAATGGCGTATGGATCCCTAACTCTTCGTGTCTTTCGTTTCGGCATCATATCTTCATCATCATCAAAATTCATGCCACTTTGTGGGGGCATTGGCTTGTTGGCTCTGCTGGCACCATTCAGTAGTCCGGTTTGCGAAGATACGGAATGGTTTGTGGATGTGTAGGTAGAGGCCTGGCTATATCTAGAGTCAGGTAGAGATGCATCGATAGCTTTACCACCGGCAAAACTAGACATTTGGTCGGAATCCATGGTAGATCTGAATGGGGCGACAGTTCGTGGGATACGATGACCACCCACCTCATCCGGACCAGCTCTTACAAAGTCGATAAGATCTGTGATAGAATCTTTGCCTACAGTGGCATCGCGAGCCTGTAGTTTATTTGGTCTTCCAGCTCTACCCGCTGATGATGCTGAGCGCGTCGGAAGAGTAGCAACAGGACCCACACGGGGAATTGAGCCGCTGATGTTTCTCGGCGTTCCATTGGTTCCTTTGTGAAAAGTACTGCTGGCTATTGGCCGGGAAATCTCACTAGCGGCACTTGAATTTGAGCGTGAGTGAATCTCTTCCTTTTTGAAAGGAACAGCAGGACCTGTGGTTCGAATAAAATCAGAGAAATCACCAAGTGAATCTCGTTCTATTCTTGCATCTCTCGGTTGAACATTGGCACGAACACGACTACTGCCTGTCGAAGGGCGACTAGTGCCTTTCAAAGAAGTAGTATTTTTTGAAACATCACTTGGAGGATGTGAGTGCAACCCAGTATGCTTGCTCACTGATGTTGAATGCGTACGGTTTGTAGCAGGTCGAGGGACAGGGATGGCATTTAAACTCAATGGAGAATCCGGACTTTCAATAGCCCGCATATTCTGTGGTGTCAATGTGTATTGGATGGTCTCGCCTCCCCGAATCAATTCTTCAAATGATTTGGAATCACCTACACTGCTCATTGCAGAAACACCGCTTTCTTCCGATACCCTCCTTTGGTTGACACGATGAACAGAAGATGAGCTAGAGGTAGATGTATAGGATGGGCGATGCGCTTTTTGCGTCTCTGATATAGCCTTGCGCGATACTTCCTCGCCTCTGGAGCTTGTTGGTGACGTGCGGCGCACCGAGGATGAACGAGGGATGTGTTTGAAAGTTTCTGGAGAGTTGCCTTCTTTTAAAATAGGCAAAATCGTCGAATTGTCGTTTGCAGGATTGGCCATTGGACGAGAGACGGACCTTGGAGGTGGTTCAAATGAATTTTTTGCACCCTGATATGTCGTTTGACCGTTTTGCTCACTTTCTGGAAACTTTGAGTTTGAGAACCCGCTTGATGACCTGCTCTGGCTAGATTGTTGTCTGGTCGAGCCTTTGATGCTTTCTCTATAATTCTGTGGGGTAGGAGGAGCAGCGAGCACGAATGGTGTCGGTCGAGAAGCGGCTGGCTTAAAGGAAGGGTAGTTTTGAGAAGTAGGACTGGGATCCACGTCAACACCTTGCATCGCAGCCGCTAGCTCTGATGGCACCGCTGTCAAAGGAGATTCTTCACCGGCTACTTCCCTTTCATCTACCTCTGATATAGAATCAGTAGTTGTGTTGAGAGGCAGTGAGCTCAAATTAGAGCCGGTTCGACCCAATGGAGAACTATTCGAGCTTCTAAGGTGTGGGCTTGTACCTCGAGATGAAAGTTCCGAGACGATCGGTGAATTGATACTGTTAGGTCGAGACACCGGGATCACTCGGCCTGCAATGAAATCAGTTGCGTCAAACGAGCTTTTGCGTGATCTCGTTGTAGGACTCTTCGCTGTATTAACATCGATCAGGCGCAAGGAATGAATGCTTGGTGATCGGAGACTAGAGCGTGAAGAAAAATCTTTGTCATCGGGAGAGATACGACCACCGAAAGATATACGTGAAGAAGTCATGATTTGCGGCTCCTCCTCTACAAATTCATAGTCAGAATCTACATCCTTACTGGTGTCATCCAAATTCATAGGGCCATCTGTAGGCGTGTGCTTCGAGTCCATTACAGCGCTCTTTGTTTTATTTGAAAATTCCTCAATTTCTTCCCCTGTATCTTTCTCTGATTCTGCGGGTGTGATCGTGCCATTTAAGACCGGAGCTCCACTTTGCGTCGGGCTGACACAATCCTCCTGGTCCGAATTTGCTTCCTTGGAACCTCGGGAGAAAAGTGACGTGACAGTAGATGGGTTTGGAGGTGGCAATGAATTTGCACGTTTCCTCGATTTCAAAGGAGAGACGGCGAAAATTGGAGTTGGGGGTTGGGAAGAATTGGGTGTGGGAAGATTGTGCGATGCATTCGTGAAAACGACCATACTCTTCGGTCGTCGCGATAATGACAGCTCTTCCGTCTCTGATGTTGCAACATCATCTTCATCATCGCTTTGTGGGGCTAGTCCTGGTACTTCGATTTCCCTAACATCATCCACGGACATTGGTAAAGGAATAATAGCAGCTTGTTCGTACTCGGTCAGTGCGTTCAATGATTTCTCTTGTGGTTGCTTATCACCGCTGAGAGGTATGCTAGCCACTTGGGCTAGTGCCGGTACAGGTTGTGATGACCTGTCTACTGTTTCTGTCGAGAGGTGACCTATTGACACTGGACTTGTAGGCGAGCGGATGCGCTTTTTCCAACCTCTCCAAAGTCTTCCCAATTTCCGATCTGATGCGACCCGTTCCATATCAGCCTCCTCTACAACTACACGTTCTGCAATATCAGTTTGTCTGATTACGCCATCTCGCTCATCTTTCTCATACTTCATGCGAAGCCGTGAATACGCTGCTTGTCCTCCCACAATTAGGATTTGTTCGCCAATGAATTCCAGGATAGATGTCAAGAAGATAGCAACAGCTGGAGAAACGATTCCAGATTCATTCTCACGGCCCCCAAATTCCGAAGATCCATTGAGATGCTCTTGAGCTGTGTATCGATCCTCATCCTCTTCTTCCATATCTCCCAATGATGAATAAACCATACATCTCAATCTCGTGCGCTTCCACACCAGTTCAAGATCCCAATCTCGGCTGGATTGGCCTTCCCTCTCCGACGACAACAATTCATCATCTTCACTTCCACCCAAATATTCTCGAAGCTCGGCATCCGCTCCACTGACAGCATCACTTGCCAGCCTTGACTTTAAGACCTCGGCAACAGCCGGGCGTAATGACACCAATGAAGTTGATTTCGAAACCGAGAGAAAATTGAATACAAGTTGATCAAGAAATGTGTTGACAAGTTTCAGAGCAGCGGGTGATACCAATGCTGTTTCTCCAGAAGGCTCAATGCCATGTTGATCGAGCCAAGCATCCGCGCTGCTATCATGATCGTTTGTAACGATTTGTGAAGCTGCTGAATGCGCAATGAAGACTGGTTCTGGTGAAATTGAGAGAGGTGGAGAGAGTAGCCCTGTGGAAGTGCTAGCTGTTGAATGCTTATCGCTCGAAACGCTATGTGATCTAGCAAGTCGCGGACTTGGACTCTCCATTCGTGTAGATCGCTGTGCCAATTGTGAAGTAGACATAATTAATATTCGATTAGACTCGGTTGGTATCCTTGATCCTCCCCAATTGATCCTCCCAGTTGTTTATTTTATGACCAGCAAAAGTATTAGTGATTGGGAAAGTGGTCAGGATAGGGCGAGTCGAATGACTGTAATAAATTGATCAAGTCGAGTGGGACATTGAGACAGTGTGGTTAAATCTAAGCAAGCCCCCTGTATCGAGAGCTTTTCGACGTAAATCAGTATAAGCAAAGATATGTTAACAAGGCGAAAACATATGATGATATAGATATGTGGATATGTAGTGTAAGACTGTGGCAGTTGATTCAGAAGGGGCTCGTGTAGGCAGTCAATGCACAACAACTGACTCGGAGGTGAGGCAATTCATACACCTCGAATCACATACAGATTGAAAGTTGGAGAGATTGTAGCACCGGGGAATTGTCCAAGAGGAAGGAGTATAACATTTGAATTGAAGTGAACAAACTGGGAAAGAAAAATCAAGCATAGGTATCTAGACGCAACGTCCCAAATTGGATACCCACAAAACGAGAAGAGTGGTGGTGGTGAAATGGAACATAGTTTTTGTTTTGAGCGTACCTGAGTGATGAAGCAAGATCCAAAGAGAGAGGGATTCGAATGTTCCGAGAAAGGAAACTGCCAATGAGATGTTTTGGGGTCCAAAAAGCTCTGGAGTGTTAAGGGCAACGACAATGACAATGGATATTGATGGTTATATTAGTTATAAGAGATTAAAATGTAGTTGATGAAGTGTTTTTGTTTTTGTTTTTGTCAATGATAATCAAGGAGAAACCCTTCATCCCCAAGAGAGAAGGAAATATGAGTGGATGATTCTAAAAGACTCTAGGAAGAGAATTCTAGAGCAAGAGGATTCAAATTCAAAATCGAAATCGAAATCAAATTCAAATTCAAATTCAAATTCAAATTCAAAATAAGAATTAAGTTCAGTAAACCAGTTGGTTGCACTTTTTTTTTTCTTCCAGCGAGGAACCAGTGGGCAGGAGGAACTAGACAAGTCTAGGATCCGTGATTTACCCCTGTACTTAAAAGTACTACGGAGTATATAAACTAGACCCTGAGTGAGTGTTGCTGAGTATGATCAACTGGTGTGTGAAATGTCAAACATTCAGGGGTGCATGCTTTTTCATTTGAGGCGTGGACTCCTGGATATACGGGGGAGGAAGTGTGCTGCGTAAGGTGGAGAATAGGAGGAAGGAATGAACCATGCCACACTAAACAGAGTAGTCCATATATGATGGGATGATTTGTTATTAGAAAGACGAAAATGACAATTACCGAAGTATCGGGTTGTAACTTATATTTGGCAATGAGGGAAAGACTTGGTGGAGTAGGTGGAGTAAGTGGGCAGAGTGATATAAAAATGGTACTGTGAAATGGTAATAGTAATAAGAGAACTACAGCGTCGTCGATATTGCAGTCGTTGTTGTTACTCCAGTATATTCGTAATGCAATCCTCTACTACCGTTACTCTCCTTATCTAGGTACTTTTAACAAACGACGATCCGACGTCCGGATCCGGAATACTTTCGAAGCTATCTTGAGTATGTGTAAAGAATCTAGAGACACCTAGATATACATGCATACATAGATACCTACATAGATACATACATACACACATACACACACACACACACACACATATGCATACATACAGTTGATGTATGACTATGATTACTCTATGTGCATCAAAAGGCCCCCCCAGTCGTCAGAGCTGAAGCTGATAATTGATTAAAAGGATTCTGGGGAAGGCTTAGCACTGTTTTAGGCAATACAGAGCGGATAACGTACTAAGCACGCAAACGCCTCTCTACAAGGTAACAACCCCATGGCAAACTCTTTTTTAAGTAATCTAATAAAGTAACGTCTTTGGTAAGGTAAGAGAGAGTACAACAAATATTGATTGATCAGATTTGATTCTCGACAACTGGTTGTACATAAGCGAAAACATTCATTCGACCGTCTAGTCAAACCACAAAACAGTACAGATACAGATACCCGTTGAGGCTTTTGTATCAACTCGGGGTTATGACAGACGAGGATATCAGAATCAGATATCCCGATTAATTCGGAAATAAAGTACTCTGTGTTGATACTCCACTGCGTTTAATGATCTGATGAGCATCCACAGATTCTACTGTAGCTACCTACTAGTTGGATGAAGACAGACTATCGCCAGTCACTTTGATATGCCAGTAATCCATCCCCATCCACACACCTTGAAGATCGTCGGAATTAAATCTTGCGGAATTCTTACGTGATCTGGACTGCTCCGTTGGAGTCTTTCAAACAAGAGGGCTGAATCTGGTTACTGGTGTCTTACTTGTTACTCAAGAAGGAAATACATTCGACTCCTTTTCAAACATACTTCCGGGTTAGGGACGAATCCAAACAGAAGTTATCTGATATCTTCGAACTACCGGTGTTAACACGAACGGTTCCTGTCTATCCTCGGCAATCATAGGAACGATCTTCAATAATCTATTCGAGGAGAAATCTAAGTTCTAATAACCGTCATAGGATTTGTTGGCGACGATTAAAGCTTCTACATACTCGGGTCATTCCTTGTACCAATTAATCATCGTCACGATATCAAACACTATTAGATCGGATATAGTGTCTCAACAAGTCAACGTACATACCTACTTGTTGATAACCATGCCTATATTACTGGTAGTATTCATGGGGGCTTTCTGAGGCTGCGACATTCTGTTTCAAGAAAGATCAGCTCAATGAAGAGTGAGGTCTGAGGAGTGAGGTTGTGCAAGAATGATTTAGCTTGCGAAAGACCTCCACGATGTTGCAGTAGCTTGCTTATAGCTCTTTAAATGAAAAAAAAGACCTTTGCACCTGCATATTTATTCCATGTACCGATATACCCACCTTTCCTTATCAGTGCAGCATCTTGGATTGACTTCGCGCTCGCCCGCAACAACACATTCAATAATGAAACATTTCTTAACTAAGAGCTTTATACTAGTTCATGTTTCTTTTTTATCCCCCTCTCTATCGGACCACTTGCTAACCCTTCCTTTAACGTTCTACGCGGAAAATTTTCTCAATTTGCTTTTTTGGATGTATGCAAGTCAGCAGCCGTAAGAAGCAACTTGTATGGGGCCATGGCAATCTAGCAGGGAAAGAATCTCTTAGCGACATGCCAGCATAAAAGGCACTAATAAGGCGCAAAAAGAAAAGAAAAGAAAAATGGATTCTAAACTAGACTAAGAACGATGTACCTCCAACCTACATGGACTTCCATTTATATCTTTGCGCCGTATGCTTGCTTCGATGACAGCAGCACAATCCCAAATGGAGTCATCGTGGCCATCTTCTAGAAGGCTTTCGGTCGACAGCCTTCATTTAGCTACATACAATACTTTTAGATGTACCAAAATTCACATCACATACACGGGGTCCTAAAGCACATCACAAATTCTGCGCAAAAGTCAATACCGTCCAATGATAATTGCCATAGTAAATCTAAGTTTGTGCCTGTTAATATATTCGTACCTTCAAACATACATCCTATTCACAGTACTCATCTCGGTCTTATATCTTATGGGAGTACATATCCCGTGTCTGCGATGGGCGTCAGGCAAATCTCGGGGCTCAGTAACCCATCGATTACACATGCACACCCATTCCCGCCTGTTCTACCCTACACCCTAACTCCTTGCCTGGAAATTCTACGGCTTGCTGAAGAAATATCGAGTTGCACAAATCTCACTCGCAAGGCAGATACATATTCACTCCTTTATAGACTCGCCGATCATGACTACAGCGTCTAGATTTAATTTCCTTCATCCAACACTTCGAACGGTACTCGCTTGAGTTGATATCGATAGATTCGCGAGGTTTTGAAGGAAGACAAAAAACCCCCGTTCCATTTATAGATACAACCTTGAAATGACTAGAAATTCATTCAGCTTGCGCAACATCACCTAATAAATTAAGTTTATTCTTATTGTCCTTGGTATGCTTGTCGATTCGTCCATGTCACGGACATCGCCCATGACTCTATCAATCGCAATCGATAAGGTCGGTGCACGAGGCATTTCCCCCAGATACAAAGATGCTCAGGTCCCTTTAACTCCAGGATCAGACCTAACTCAAAAGACCAATCCATATACCCCGCTACAAAAATACTGGTACGGAAACGCTCCTGACTCTCCAATAACCACTCGGTCAATCATCAAAGCACAGCTCTCCTCAACATTTCACTCCGTTCCGGATCATCCATCGTTAGTGCCTTGTACTCCATCTGTGCTTGCATATAACAACCATCTTTCGTTCCTTCCATGTATGCTAAGTGCCAATAAACTTCGTACTTAAGTTCGTCCTCCTCTAGCATCATCTGATCGTTGAAATCTCGGACGATTTCTTCAATCTTTTTATCTTCGTTGGCTGCATCAGTTCCAAGCCTCATATTGGTCAATGTGTCCAACACTTCGTTGAAATCATCGACGACGAGACTGTTATCTCCAGCCGAGTATACTCCACAATCTTCGAATGATTGGGACAAGGCATTAATTCGGCCATCATGAACCTAACAGATGTTAGTGACTAATCAACAAATTCATCTTCATCCAAACCCACGACTTGTGTGAGCACGGAGTGGGAATCTACAACCACAAACTTACACCACGAATATAAGCCTCCTCCACGGTACCGATCGGAAACTCTACCGATTCCATCTCGATCAATCGATCACAATAAGAAGCCCGAATCGCCAGTTCTCGCCGAGCCAAACAATCTACACACCATCTAGGAGTCAGTAAGAAAAGAGTGAATGGATCCAGTTCTCCATCTTGATAGCACGGAACTAATTGTTTGTCTCGAATATCCATTCCATCATCGCGATAGCAGTGACTGCATGCGCCATGAAGATATTGCATGGGGTTTTGAAAGTGAGGCGAGGTAGGAACTTGAGTATGAACCTCTGATTGTCCGGCGTGGGGCGAGATTTCCAAATCCATCTCCATCTTGAGGACTAGTGCGGTAGTTTCGTTCTTTTTGTTTGTTTATTGATTTGTTTGCTTGATTTATTTCTGGGGTATTGTGTGTACAAGTGTAAAATGATACTCTTGCGCAAGCAGATATCGGAAGATTATTTCAGTGGTCGTGGTGGTTTGTAAGAGGATTCGAGATCATGCGGTAATTGTGAGGATGGCTATGTTTATATATGTCCATAAGCGAGCGTGCCCAACGACGATGGTGAATCATAACGAGATTTTGGTCAGTGGCCTGTTTTAACTCGAGCGCGATTGCCTAATTTGACGCTAGACACGTGGCCATACTCCATTTTCAAGTATCTTCAGATGAAATCGGCTCAAGGGTTGAAACCCTTTCATTATATGTTTCAAGGCACCGCGAGTGAAGCGTATATATGTTGGCATGACGTAATAAATTGTTTTTCGTCTTCATTTGTATGTGGACAGATGGATAGCTCTAGAGGAGAGAGGAAATAGCCTCACAATAGGAATTCTTTGAATGATTTGAAGTCTCAACTTAGACAACCGGGTGTTAGTAATGAAAGTTGTCATTGTCATTATTAGCTTTATACAGGTCAATAAGAAAGATACGGTTACGTTGTCCCAGATTGAGAGTTTGCATTTCACCTATCAAAGCATCTTGAAAGAATAGAAGACTCTAGGAAAACAAGAATACAGTTCAAACTTCCGGCACTGTAGTAGCTGCTATAATTCGCACCGTCATGGCAAAGTGAACTTATTCATTGAAAGTGAAGATTTCATCTACGTAGACATTGCGACTACCATCGTCACTCATACTACGGCGCGGATATAGATGTCATTCTATATTACGAAACTTGCATCCTCGCCATACTGCTCTATCTCGCATTCCCTCATCACCCATCAAAGTCTCGCAAACACACCGAGCGCCTCTATCTCATAACTGACACTCACCCAAGATCTTCTCCACTGCCTCCCGAACATCCCGATGCACCTCCTCAACATTCCTACTGGCATCAATCTCAGCCAGCAACTCTCGCTCCCTATAATGTTCAATAACTGGTCCAGTAGCACAAACGTGCTGTCTAAATCGCTTATGCATAATTTCAACCCCATCATCGATTCGGCTGGAAGATTTAGCTCGAGACAAAAGTCTCTCTTGCAGAATTTGCAGCGGACAATGTAAAGAGAGCACGAGAGATGGCGCACAGATTGTGGATTCGAAGAGAGCGACCGGGTCCATACTGCGAGGGAATCCTATGTTCTTGTTAGCATTTCAGTAATCACATTCAGTACTACATGTAAGTGACTTACCATCGATCAAAAATACCATTTCTTTTCCCAGCTCGATATCCTCACTTCTTCGTGCAATCGCTTCTTGTAACATGGAAACAGACATCTCGGGTGGACCTGTTCGGCCTTCGGCCATGTTGGCTCGAATGACGGATGCCCATTTACTAGATGGTTTCTGAAGCTCCGAGCGTAGGATACCACCAATGCTGATGTGATGGATGTGCCGATGAGGATTCGATAACTGGGAGAGGAGCATACATTGGGTTCCTTTACCGACACCAGGGGGTCCGAGGACGAAGATGATTTTGGGTGAGGTCATTTTGATGCTGGGGAATGTGAGCGCTAGGGAGAGGGTAAGAAAGTAAGAAAGAGTAGGCTTGTTTGGTTTTGAGGTGAGATCTTCTGGCTTTCTAAGACGTAATTTGTTTCTTCGTGTGGGGATTAAGGTTTGGATACTGCTGTTACTATTCCACAAGCATGTAGAAAGTTCTGCTGGAATAACTTCGTTATCGGTATATATATATATACCAAGAAAAACATTCGCCGTTGCGTTCCGAACACAGCGAATATAATCACACTCGTTGTCAAGATGTATACCATTCAGTGCCGATATCGGTCAATACTCGCTATCTACCTGGACAAGTTGGAAGGGCTTGAATGTGAAGTTTGAAAGTGAATCATAAGACGAATCAAACCCCTTCGATTTATGCCATTCAGAAGCTTCACATCCATCACTCCACTAGAATGCTCATAAGCGAAGGGATGAATAGCAAGAAACCTTTCCCGTTGAGATTTTTTTCAGAATCAAATGCAATCACTCTGAATAAGATCATAAAAACATGAGAACCAATTTATCAAGCTAAATAATAGAAGTGAAACAAAACTTTTCCCATTCTCGATAGGGCTGAGGGGGAAAACGATCGGTGGGGTTATTAATGGACCGGTGTGAGATGGGCCCTTAGCCGCTATACCACTAGACGTCGGTATAATTTCCCTTTAACAAGTTCATGAATTGTTTCGGTGAAGAGATAGGCCTGTTTGAGCTTACGATGAAAAGTGTGTACAGATTATGGGGATAGGATAGGATTTGGGTGTTGGCATTTGTGTTTCATTTGGACTGATGATTGTGGTCTGCGGTTATAAAAGGGTATGAGGTAAGTATCTAGTATGTTTTGAGCGATTTTTTGTATGTATTTTCTGTTTTGAGATAATTGGTATCAATGATTATCTTTTGAACAAAGGATGTTAAGATTTATCAATGTCATTGTACATTCGATTGCTTTGTTCTGAACAGGATATAGGGGCTATGCATGCATTTTGTACTTTTAAAGGCTCGTTTATTTTCCATGCACGAGGTAATTACATATTCATGATCAGAGTAGATGTATATATTCTCCAAGGTTTTATAAGTTTGTGTGAATATATTAATTAAGTATTTAGTTTCCAGCACCATTCAAGACTATTCTCTTTGAGTCGTAGGCCGTCAAATCGTGTGGTACATTCCCGTCGTTGGACTGACTAGAAAAATTGCAAGAACGAAGATTGGGGCTGAAAACAATGAAGTGATGTCGCAGGACATTCAAGTCAAACAAGAGCACTTACCTGGACCAGATGGACCAGAAATCAGCTCCATAGAAGGAGAAGCAAAGATGAGGAGAACCAATATCCAGCGCGGTCCAGCCGCATGAATTTTCCTCTGCTCCTCGCCACTTATTCACCTAGATACGTGTTAGATTCCCGGTAAATCCTCATCGTCTAATCCTTCACATTGTGCTTTTAGCTTTCTCTTCCTTTCTTCGTGTCTTTCTCTCTCCCGCTCTATGAGCAGCTCATGGAGTTGATCCAACACTCGTTCTTCCTGTCTCCTCTCTACCAGTCTGTCAACTTGAGATAGTCTCCCTGTCCTCTCGTGACTGGTTCGCGCAGTCTCTCTTCGCATCTCATCAAGATCGTCGACTGACTGATTTAATTGGTCAGCTTTAGTTTCTCGGGCCTTCCTCTCCAATACTCCTTGTAACTTACTCGCTGCTATACCTCCTCTCGTGAACGGTCGTCGGATTCCATCTATCCCCACGTGCGTCAGTGTAGATGTACTTCCGAGATCTTCTTTGATTCTGCAAGAGTCACACATGCGATCGTGGTGCTCGACTCCTTCTGGCCCCATGGTGAGGAAGCAGCCGGCTTTCATATTTTCACTTGTTGCCCATGGGCAGGGTCGAGAAATCTTGCGTGGGCCCCAGTGATTGCAGGAGAAGACTACGTTGATACTTTGGCACATTTCTAGTGAGTTGGAAGTGTAATTAGAAGATATAAATTGTTGGGGATAGTAGGGGAACGACATTATGGTACAAATCATATATATAATATTCTCTGAAAACTTGTAGCATTGTTCAATACTTGAACTGGCTTGGTGTCTCTAGTTGCTTAGTTACTATACTACCGTGTGTATCAATATACAATGGGCAGGGTGAAATGGTCTCTAATAGCTATCAAGTCATGTCAAGACTTGAGTATGATCCAATGTCTCCAATTGCCAACTAGGACAATAAATCACCTGGTGGATACCCAAGAACGACGAATGAAGGAAAAGAAGAATGATCTCAAGTAAGATCAACTCTGATTGTATAGGAGGCTAGAGATTCAGCAAAAGCTCTTTCGCTTAACGAATTCAACACAACAAGTAGAAATATTCCTTTGTGTGTGAAAGAACAGGAGAACAATCCTTTGGTTAATTGTTGAACTTCGGAATTATTTATAGATTTCATGACTGAACTCATGGTTTTAAGCTAGGACTGTTTGCTAGTGTAAATTCTGTACATGCTTGTCTGAGGCATGTAAATGATCCAGATGAGATCAAAGGCATAAGCCTACTCGATGATTGAGGCGTGCCTGAGAATGAGTCTGTTCGCGCCACGAATTAGTAAATCAAACGATCCGAGCATAGAGGCAGATGAAATGTTGTATTATTCGAATCATCAGACAATGTTGAGAAGATTTTTTAATGCGGTTCTTGAAGTCATTGCATGTTCAAAACCACCAGGAATTGGCCCATTGGGAGAATATGCTTTTATGGCCCCGCGGTGTCATCACGAAACAGGGGCGAATTAACAAACAAATTTTTTGTCGCACATACCTTTATCAGCGGAGGCTATCCAATCTCCAGTCCAAGGTAGCACTGTCAAGCTTCTCCGGCTTGATCACCTCTCAGGTCTGAACCTTCCTCTTTTTTCCCTCATACCTTCCACTCTCTTCCTATCCGCCTCGAATCTCTTGACCAGCTCTCCAACCTCCTTCTTTCTCTTCTCTCGTCCCTGCCACCTATAGAATCCTGCGTCCTCCAACTCCTTTCTCCTCTTCTCCTCCTTCTCGGCCATCTCTCGCCTCTTTTCTTCCGCCGCCTCATTCCTCGCTGGGCCTGTCCTCCCACCCCTCACTACTGTCACAAATCCATCCTCATCTGGCACATTCCTTAATCTCTTTCTTTCCCTCTCTCTCTCCTCTTCCTTACTATTAAACTTCGTCATGAAAGCGTCTACACTCCTCTGCACTGCTAATTTGTCAGGGAATCGTAACTCCTGCCTCATTGCATAACGTGCGCTACCCAAAGCGGGCACTTTGCCTTCAGCACCTGCGCCCCAAACAGGATATTTTGATTCCTTTCCTGATTTGCAGGCTTTTCGTGCAGCCTTTAGAACGGATTCCACGCTTTTCTCATCTACCAATAATACCACAGCCGTCCTTCCCTTAATGCGCAATTGCCTATCCCATCCTTGTGGTAAACTCGTATCGATTTCAACTTCGCCTCCTCTCTTTCTTTTCTTGCTCTGCGAGGTATTCTCGATTTGTTTTTGTGCGACAACCTCTTCCTTTTCCCCATCGAATCGTACATCTTCAACTCGGCCAACACCTATCAATGATGCGAATATGCTTCGAATATAAATATCTGTGGAATCTATAGGTAGATTTGTTGCGAAGAGACTCCGCGAATCATTCTCGGACGGAATCTTTGGAGCATGCTGTCTCAAATATATGTGATGCGTCGTCGCAACGGGATATGCGGGCGTAGAAGGAATTGCGATAGGAAGGACGGTATAGTTGTCACCAATGGTAGTTGGTGCTTTCGACATGTTGTAGTGTATCTCTAGATAATTTGCATATGTGTGACGAAACTGCAGATTCTGCGCGTGAAATCAAATTGAAGTGGTTTATTCAATTGAGCTTGTCATTGGGGAACTTTTTTTGAAGCAAAAATATTTGGCAGGGGTTTATGTCTTATCGGAAGACGCTAAGCTAAGCCCGAAGCTACGAGGTACCACAAACACCCGATCATTGACCATCCTCGAGCCATCAACTAATTATAAAGCAACGCCAGCACTTCTCCTTTCTCTAGTATGCAACTGGTAATTACATTGAAAGATGCCAGAATTTATCCATTGAATCTTTCCATAATATTAACGCCCACCCAAAGCAATGTTATATCGAAGAATACAAGGTTATAAGTACGTGTATGAGGACTTTGGTAGGTCTGACTTTAAACTTAAGAGGCAGATGTATATCATTAGGCCTTTTCAGGATCGTTAATACCGCCGGTTGTAATAATATATGTTGCTTCACGTTCCGGGCAATCTGATTTCTGCTGTTAGTACAAGTGACTAGGATAGATCAAGGATAACTTACCAGGAGAATCTACAACCTTGGCAACACGTTCCTCTCCACGTCCTTTTCTCAAGAGGATTCTGGTTGTCGATGCATGTGCAAGTATATGTCCTCCAGCAGGCTTACGCCCATCAGCTCCTGCAAAAAGGGCACTGGCACCTGGGTCCGACATAACTTGATTGGTCTGTAAAGTGTCAGTTGAATCTCTTAGATGGAAAAGATAGACATATATACCATGAAGACAACCAGATTGAATTCTTCCGCCATCTGTGTTGCTTTACGCAGAAAGGCGTTGAGGGCGCCTTGTCTTTCGGAGAGCTCACCACGTCCGATAAAGTCACTACGATAGAGAGCCATAATGCTATCAATGATGAGGAGACGATATTCGTCAGTTGCGAAATTTTGGGCAAGGCCCTCGAGCAATTCCTGCTGCATCTGATTATGGTCAGTAAAGGATAGAAACTGGATTGAAGGAGCCACGAGGTATACTTCAGTGTTATGTGCACGAGCATAAACGATATTCTCGAGAGCTTGTTCAGGGTCGACACCAAATCGCTCTGCAATTTCCGAAATTCTTTCTGGGCGGAATGTGCCTTCAGTGTCTATCCAGTCAAGTCTTAGCAGATTTTCACCACAAATCTAAACTTCGCAAGCTATTTTTTCCCTACCTATATAGGCCACCTTTCCCTCGGCTCCACCCATCTCCTTAGGAAGCTGGGCAATGACTGCCATAGTATGTGCTAATTGAGTCTTGCCACATCCTGCAAGTTGTTAGCGAGAGAAACATCCTAAGGGTCTCAGCAAACTCACTGAACTCCCCGTATACCTCGCTGAGACTCATAGTTTGGAATCCACTGTAAAAAGTTAGACCTCCCAGTTTAGGTCGCATTAAGAAGATTGGCCAACCCGTTCAAACAAGCATCCAACTGCTTGCTACCAGTAGAAATTCTGATACACTTCTTTCGGAAGTGGCCATGCTCAGCGGCAGTAACGAATTGACCACCTGTGTTGGGGCCCTGTCTTCTGTCAGCATATGAGATGAAGTAATACGGAGCTTGGCGCTTACGGCTACTTTCTTTGCAGCTTCCTTGACTTTCTCAGCCTTGATGTCGGAGAATCCTTTGATTTTAACCAACCTCCGGATGGGGGTATTAATAAGAGTCTAATGCGAGGTCAGCTTCACGTCTTGAATTAGCCTTTTATGACTGGATGCAAGAATGCTCTTACTCCAACCGTATGAATGAGGTTAGATCTCAATTTTGCGATGTCAGAGGCAGAGATACCTGCTTCAATTAGAACTCAAAACTACAAAATATCGAGAGCACTCTGCGGATTACCATGCGCCTGGATCTCATCGATATCGATGATACCACTCTAAAGATATGTGTCAGTGAATTACCTCTCGCATGAGATTAGGAACGTCCTACCTCTTGCTCATTCGCATCACCGCAAAGTGAAGCTGCGATGGCCATGTCGACAATTTATTACAATCGAGACTGGGGCTCGAGATGTTTGAAGAAAGATCCGATGAAAAATTTCAAGTGAAGTTGAAAGTGAAGCTGGATATAATGATTCAGTAACTCCATTTCAGAATGCTCCAAACCCTTCGTTTTCATATCTGGATCATCATTCGGGAAGGGCAACACTCACATTTTCGAAGAATTCAAACTTCTGAACCAATAAAATCACCCACAAAAGAAGAGATGTCAAGTATGTGTATATTAAACTTGAAAACAATTGAGGATTTGCACGAACGAAGTTCAATCCGAATTTACGAGAATGTGTGCTTTTTTAAGAATAAGAAATGCGGAAGGGATGATCACCTTGATATAAGATTCAGGTATACAGATATCAAATAGGAAGTTCTTTGGAGTTTGGAAAAATTGAATTGAAGGTGAAAGTGAAAGTTGAGGGAAGCTCTAGGCAGGAGGCATTTGGCGCCAAGCTTGATCAAGCGAGAAGCGTCGTCGTTTTGGTTTCAATATATTGTCCCAACACAACTCATCTGCCACATACGACCATAGACTGAAGAGAATTGGGCATCCCGTCCGCTCTGCCATACACAAGCTTCAGATCGGTGGATTAGTAGTTGGGTGGGTGACCACCAGCGAATCCCCACTGTTGTATGTTTTTTGTTTCCTTTTTGGCTGTCGCGAGGAATCACAATCACCAGCTGGAAAGTGCAGCTAGGCTCTTGGGTGAAGGAAGATGGTCTCTAGGATTTGAATTGTACAGATCTACAGTGAAATAGAAGCAGGAACGGAGGGAAAGTGAAATAGAGGGCCAGGAAAGGCACGATCCATCAGATCCATAACTGACGCCAGTACGACATACTGCATTTCATGTCTCGCAACGAAATTATCACTTGATGAAAGACTTCGAGAGGGACTTATATAGATCTGTCGCGAGGATTTTGATGGTGGATCTTTTGCTTCGTTCCTTCCAGCATACTGCCACTTAGAAGTGCCTATCTGTTACTCTCCTGTGGGATTGAACATGCTGCTCTCGGACATTTCCTACTAGATAGCTGGTAGGAAACAACATTTCATTTCGACGTATGCCATGAGAGAGATCACCAGGTTATCGAAGAGCATAAAGCAACACATATGAATTCATCGATCTCAATCCAGTTCTCATTCCATCTACTCTGATTATTAGGTATTGCCAGTAGTGTCATAGACTTTCTTTCTTGAATTTAAGAACAATCACACATTAAATTGAATCCAAAAGCAAACATACCAGAAACCACTCTCCGTTACGCCTAATCCTTTCCTTCGAATCTACTCGATGTTTATAACCCAGAGCCCGTTTCGCTTTATCAATCCGATCTGTCCTCCTCGTGCAACTATACGCAATACACACTTGATTAACCCTCGATGTCTTCCGTCCGAAAGATATGATCCAACCACCCACTCAGCTACAATAGTTATAGCAAACTCGAAAATCTTTATCGACTTCACATCTTCTTTTCGAGTTGGATGACCTGCCTCGTCACAGATTTGGGAGCTCACAAAATGTGAAGACTGAGAAAGTTCGTGAAGGGTACTCATCATCTCGATTGCAAAAATTTCTTTCCGCGTCGCAGAAATTCTGAGACTGTTTCCATAGTTTGTTTCCAATCAATGCGCAATATCACACAGCGTCATGTCAATTCATACGTCTCGAAGTAAGGTATAACTTCAAGGACGTCAAAAGAAGACGTCTTCTTTCCTCCCCAAACACAATGGCGTTTTTTTTACCATACTAGAATCTTGCCGTAAGTTACCTATTGCTCAGACATAAAGTAAAAAGCCTATCCAATATTAGACCTCAACAGCCTCCCTTTTCGATAACATACGATGTTACGCCTCTTCATCGAAAATCGGTCGAAACCATTCTGGCCCGACTTTGCAATCTCGAGTTACCGTACTGAGTATTCGGTTGTTTCGTACTTGGACCTTGGTATCTTTCATCCTTCGCACGTATACTGCGTACAATCTTGAGAATAAAAAGATTTACAAAATGACTTTCTGGACTTATGTGATAGCTTTGTCGCGTTTTGTTAGCGAGTGGTTGATTTTTGAGACTACAAGTATGCGGAACGGGATGCTACCGTCTCTTGTTATAACGACGGTAAATATTAGCTGGATGGCGAAGGTGAATGTACTATGTTGAAAAGTAAGATTAGTGTGCGAATGAATAATGGAGTTAGCAAGATCATAGGAGCCCACTCCCAAAGCACCACTTGTCTCTGTTTTATCAATACATTGAAGGCTGAATTTTGACAAGACGCATTGCACTCCTTCAAATTGTGTATGGTTTGACCGTGTTCGGACCTCACGCATGAACTCCAAGCATAACTATTTCTGCAGTCCATGACCGCTTGGTCGAGCGTTTAAATAGTCAAAGTGAAGATATTTCAATATTGATAAATCTCCCCGATTTTGTGATTGTCATGCAACATTGGTATTTCCCCAACTCCTAATCTCTATGCAAATTTCTGTATAAGCGCAGAGCCAAAACTGCCACTTATCCTCAATATGATATCTGGCATGAAAATATTAACCTAGTTGATATTTATTCGCCCAAATACTCGGTAGAGTCATCCCATACCCCTATACTACTGTTACCTCTCATGTCCACATCCTGATTAAGTTCATCCCAATCTTCCCTCCAACTTATATCGTCCAGAGCTCTCGCGTGCTTTGCTGCCATAGTTTGCATTTCGATTTGGGTACGGTTAAGTAGTGATTGACTAGTCCCAAGCTCTTCCTGGCTGATTTGATTGATAGATTGCTTAGTCTCAAGAAAATAGAAGGCCAGAAAAGTGAGAGGAAAGAAGGGAACGAGAATGAGAGTAAGCACCTACAGATGCGAAATGTGTTGCTCTAAATTAGTGATCTCTTCCGTGCATTCGTCCAACTTGGAGACGTGCCAGGCCAGAATCTTCTACGTATAATACGTGAGCAACCGTATCTTCAGATTGAAAGTTGTCTGATGTATATAAACTTACATCACTTTCTATTCTATGCGCTTGGAGTTCCCCGACTGCTTTTGCAAGTCGTACATTCAACGCTTCAGCTGATGTTGCTATCTCGGCAGCTTTCGCGACCGCTACTACATTCCTATTGTATGAAGAGCTATGGGATATTGGTGGCGGAGAATTAGATCTTCGTAAGTAGCTCTCTCTTCTAGTGTTCAACGGTCGTCCCCAGAACATTTCGTTGGAGTCCCTTCGCGGCGGCGGTGGTTTAACTTTGTTGTGAGATACTTTCGGGTCCAAATCCATAGAATATTCCACTCTCAATAGTGTCTCCATCTCGTCCGTCTTCTTGTGCAACGCAGTGATGGCATCGTCTTCGGCGTCATCATGTGACAACCTGACTACGAGGTCATTGAGTCTTTGTAGTAAGACATCCTTGTTGTCCTGAGAGTCCTGATTCGAGGAATTTGACGGGGCAGTTGCTGAAGCATCAACATTCGTGAATGAGAGAGGGGAAGTAAAATGGCGCCGAAGACCCAGGATATTCATCTTTCTTTGGAGTATTACATGCAGGAAGTTATATAGGCGCTATGACCTAAGCAGTATCCAAGAATTCATTTTGTTGTAAAGGTTTCACGTGGATGCATTATGAAATGCAGTTCAAAATGCACAAATCCTCATACAAACCAATGGTTGATCTCAATACAACGTACATAAGTAGCGGTATGTTGCGCGTAGTGGGGTGGAAATGTCCTGTTGTTGGCATCTTCGGTGGAAGGTTCTGCCATGAGCCACCGCTTTTATTTATTGCCTTAGTAGATAGCAAAATACATTGCGGGACAATTTACATTCTACAAAGTAACCAACCCACAAAGAATTATTATTGACTCAATTGGAAGAATTCTTTCACACTATTTCCAGACTTTCTTCTATTGGCAATCGGCTTTTATACCCCCCGTATTCATTCTTTTTACTTTCAATCTACTCTTCTCAAACAAAATGGTGGTGGGGGTATGTTGAAAAGATGACTCCTCCCAGAATTGACAAGAAAAATGCTAACAAAGTAACTAGGACATCTCGCCTTCTTTGGCGGAAATATCGGATGTGCTTTCTAAAACTCGAGGAAAGTCATATGCCCCCAATCTAGTTGCTATTTATAAAGAAATATCTTCCGATCTCATTACTCCCTCCGCCGCATACCTCAAGATTTCGGCGCATTCGAAGTCCGATCACTCTTTCTTATTCGAGAGTGCTGCAACAGAAAAGGTTGGCAGATATAGTTTCATAGGAGCTGGACCTCGAAAGATTCTTAAAACTGGAGAAGGACATGGCGAACAGCTGGACCCATTGCCTGCGCTCGAGGCAGAATTGTCCAAATGTAGGGTAGCACAAATACCAGGACAAAAATTGCCACCTTTGACAGGAGGAGCCATTGGATATGTGGGATACGATTGTGTTCGATACTTTGAGCCTAAGACCGCACGACCTATGAAAGATGTTCTTCAAGTTCCTGAGTCACTCTTTATGCTATTCGATACTATTGTCGCATTCGATCGGTTTTTTGGAGTTATAAAAGTTATCACATATCTTCATGTTCCGGAAGATTTCACGCGGATTTCAGCGGATTACGAGAAAGCACAAGAAATCATTGATGAAGTTGTTTCCGCTCTTGAATTGCCAGATACACCTCTACCCACTCAGCCACCTATAAAACTGGACAATGAATATACGTCAAACATTGGACAGGAAGGCTACGAGGGACATGTTAATTCTCTCAAGACTCACATCACATCTGGTGATATTATTCAAGCAGTACCGTCACAACGCTTTGCAAGACCAACTTCTCTTCACCCCTTCAATATATATCGTCACCTCCGTACCGTCAACCCCTCGCCTTACCTTTTCTACGTCAACTGTGGTGACTTCCAAATTGTAGGAGCTTCTCCCGAACTCCTTGTTAAAGCTGAAGAGGGTCGCGTGATAACTCATCCCATCGCTGGTACTGTCAAACGCAATGCAGACCCTCAAATCGATGAAGCTCTTGCCGAAGAACTCCGCAGCTCTCTCAAAGACCGCGCTGAACACGTCATGTTGGTTGATCTTGCACGTAATGACATTAATCGTGTATGTGATCCCATAACCACTCGCGTAGATCGATTGATGGTCGTTGAGAAGTTCAGTCACGTGCAACATTTGGTCTCACAAGTCTCGGGAGTGTTAAGGAAAGACAAGACTCGATTCGATGCTTTCCGTTCTATTTTCCCTGCGGGTACTGTATCCGGTGCTCCAAAAGTCAAGGCCATGGAATTGATAGCCGAATTGGAAAAAGAGAAGAGAGGTGTATATGCGGGCGCAGTCGGATATTTCGGCTATGGAAGTGTAGATGCAGAAGGGAATGAGTTTGAGGGAGAGATGGATACCTGTATTGCTTTGAGAACTATGGTGGTCAAAGATGGAGTTGCTTATTTGCAAGCTGGTATGTTTAATTTTCTTCTTTCGCACCGAGTTTTCCATCCCCAAAAACACTGACTACAAACCCCTTGATCCTTTATCTTCATCTGTAAATTAACAAAACCTACAGGTGGTGGCATAGTCTTCGACTCAGACCCCTACGATGAATGGGTGGAAACTATGAACAAACTTGGCGCAAACATGCAATGTATAGCCGGCGCCGAGAGAATCTACTCGAATATTCAATCTAAATCCACACCTAACTCTGTGACTAGGGACGCCTCATTACCTGTAAAATCAGAGGAGAAGGCTCATATTGATTTCGCAGCAGAATAGAATTTGATCAGTTGAACATTGAAGTTGAGATGGCGGTTCAAAAGAGACGAATGAATTTGGTGGTCTTGGTGATGTCAGAAAGTCACGCTTGGCACTTATTTCGACGATGTCTGATAATATCTCGACTTCGGTATGGGTCTATTGACTGTTGTAGAAGTTCACAAGATACCAGGCTTACTTAGATTGCTAAAGGACAAAATCAAAGACTTTAAATAAATATATTTGTAAAGTTGTTCTTATATCGTCTGTGCAAGGTGTGGTCCGTGCATGTCTAACGTAGGAAACTTTGACAGATCGACCGACCGTTGACAGACCATCGGATGCATATTATAAATATCGGTCAGACCCACACATGATCAGAGATTTGCAAAACTCGGATAAAATCAAATTTGTGAAACACTACGTAGGTAAGGAAAGAGTCATGACAGATCAAAGTGGACACGATTAATGGGAAAAACATGAAGAGGAGTATTTGTTATTTGTATTTTAGTAGGTCGAAAAACCTGTGACCCAAATTCCTTCTACCCAGAGAGCATCTGTCTAACCTAGAGTACAAGGCTCTGCGTCTAATTCTATGTATACAATGGTCGTGAAATCTTTTATGCGGTAGCCTCCTTCAAGTGTCTGTGATGGTGGTTAGCAACTGCGAATCGAATATCTCAAAATGTAAATGATATAAGCTGAACTTTCAGAAGGAACAATTGGAATAATAATGTTATATCTTCATAGTCATGATAGACGTAAGAAGGTTAACGAATAAGAAAATCATCATGGTAACAGAAATGTGTAGAAACCCCTTTGGGGTGTTAGAGAAATGGGAAGTAAAACATACTGGATCAAGTCGTTCCTGTCCTTGTCCTTCTTCAATCCACCGAAAGCCATCTTGGTTCCTGGAATATATTTCTTTGGGTTCTCGAGGTATTCGAACTATTTCATGTTAGATGCGGCTCTCTCTGTACAACAAAAGTTAGAGTGGCGGTGTAGTGAAACATACAAGTGTGTTCTCGTCCCAGGTGATAGCCTTTTGCTTGTTGGCATCGGTGTATGAGTAGCCCTCAACGGAACCGGTTTGACGTCCGAAAAGACCGTGGAGGTTAGGACCGATCTTGTTTCCCTCACCCTCACCGAGGGTGTGGCATTGAGCACATCTTGTCTTGAAGAGGTTGGCACCCTTCTTTGCGTCTCCTGTAGAGGAAAGCTGTAAGTATTTATTCTTTATGTATGTTGTCATGAAAATCTTTGTCGGGTAAAGTGGCGAGCGAATGAAATTTGAAAGGGAGAATCAAGTCCCGCAAGATGGGAGAGAGACGCTGCCAGTCCTTGAGCGTCTGCAGAAATTTATGAATAGCATCCAGAGTCTGGCGGAGTGGCGGATGGAGGTGAAATGTCGAGTGGCGGCTCGAACAAATATTCCCCCCAAATCGAAAATACAAGTCCGCCCTCGATCGAAGACGTCCAGAGCATTTCCAAGCCACCAGCCATACCGTTGTGCAACTCGAAGACCCAATTCGCATCTTCCAACTCCCAATGGCAAACTTCTTCCTGGATGATTTATATTTCCCAAAAGTAGGAAGCCTTTCAAAAAGGAAAAATAAACGTACCTGCTTTGAAACCCATTTCAACTAATTAAGAGGTTGTATGTAAAAAAAATTGAAAGTAATTATCTATGTATGACTTGAACGAAGGTTCTTAAACGTAAGGTCGTGAGAGGAAAAGTGGTAGGAATTTTCAAAATAGTATTGTATGAAGATTTAAAAAAGAAAAAGGAAAAATAATCTTGCTTGAATATGTACTTTACCTGCAGGAATTAAGACGTAGCTTAATTTGATCCCGAAATTGACGAGGTCATTTTGAGCCACACTTCCCGAACGTCTCCAGCCAATAGGAAGAATTGAAATGGTCAGGTCATGTGGCGCAGGTCGGGATCTTACGGAGGATTAATGAAATTTTTAATTTGCGTCATGCAGACTTATTGGTGAACGTATTGCGGGAGTGAATCATGAATTTGTGAGAAGCTTCATTTTTCGATTTCATAGGTACAAGGTAGGTAGCTTGTTGATCTCTTCTTTACAACATCGTTTAAAATCAAGAGTTTTTTTCGTAGTCTATCATCCATAATGTCGTCCACAGCCTCTATACCCAGGTTTCTTTTACCGCTTCGATCTCCTCTGTGGTCTCTGTCCTCAAAAACGACTATTCGCAATGCTTCTACCAAATCAAAGAACAATGCATCCAAAAAGTCCCCAAAGCCCCTCGTTCTCGAGAAACCCACCAAATTCAACCCTCCTTCTCACCCTGCCCGCCTCCGCAAAGATCCTCCCCGATATCCAGGTCCTCAATTGAGCGCCGAAGAAATAGCTAGACAAAGTGTGAAGAAATATCCAAATATGATGCCACCGGAAGGAACATTCATGCATTGGTTTCTCAACAACAAGTCCATTCATATCTGGATCGCATTGGTAATACCTATTTCAATCTCTCTCAGTTCCCCAAGCCACATAACTAACCTTCAATTCCAGGGCACCCTCTCGACCCTCGCAGGAGGAGTCTGGATCACAAACTTTAAGCGCGATTCGCCATTCGGAGATATGCTACCTGAATGGCCACAACTATTTCTACACCCAATCGCATTTACAAGAACATGTTATGAGGTTTTACAGCTGCACACTGCGCATGTAACAGCAGAGACAATGGAAAGGAGAAAACATAGGGTGGAGGACGTTGCGAAGAGGGCTGCTTATAGAAAGGCGCATGGATTAGATAAAGATGAAGGCTTTGGTGGCTGGACTGCTAAGACTGATAAAGAGGTTTTGGGTCCGGGAATTAAGTTGGGACATGAAAAAGAAGCTGAGATTGCCGAGACGGCTGAGGGAGGTGCAGGGGGGGATGGCAAGGAAGGAGAGAAGAAGGTGGTTTATGAGAAGCAATTCTCAGGAAAGAAGTGGTTGGGAATTTGGTAAGAGCCAGACGCATCTTTTGATACCAGTTTTATTTTGAAATCGGATTAGAACATTGTTCTGGTGTTGGGCCGACATGAGACGAGATATTTTACATGTTTGGGAGAAGAAGGGTATCATTGTAGAAAATTCCTTGTAAGACCGCGACACTAAGACAGCTCCACAGTCTCCAATCCATCTAATACCTCCTCTGCTACACCTCCTTTCTCCATAACCTTTGCGATTATCGTCGCGACTAACTTTCGCTTGATTCCTCCCCTCGGCGGTTGCCATACACCTCCCTCATTCATTGTCTCTCTTTGAGTCGATGCTAGATCCGTCGTCTCAGCTGCCGCACCTCCGGTAGCAGTATTCATCACATTAGGAACACCAGGCGCTGTTAACCTAGCTGGTAAATCCACGGTTCTCACAGCCAATAATCTTAGATCCCTTCCAGAGCTAGAATCCATATCTACATCTCCATCCTTACGCCTTCTTTCACCAATGGTAATAGCTAATACAGCTTCGGCGACTGTAAGCTCTTCCTTACTTGGATCGAAGATTATATTCTCTCCAACGGATATGACGAGAAGTGTAATTGGTGGTCGGGAGTTGGTAGATTGTGGTGTTCGAGGATATAAGTAGACGGAAGCTTCCCAGTCGTCGTCAAAGAGTGGATCTTCATCACCTTCGGACTTGAGACGTGGGAGACGAGTAGACAAAAGCGCAAGATGGGTTGTTAAAGAAAGGAGGGGTAGTGGGTAGGATAATGGCTGTGAGAGTAGTAAAATCTGCATGGTTGTCAGTCGCGATGATTAAATTTTGAGCAATCAAAGTATTTCATTATGAATGTATAGAGAAAAACTCACATCAACATATATCTTCCAATGATACCTTGAATTAATCCATAATCTCCCCACAAACTCGGCATCTGCTAGTAGCGCCTCACTCAGCATGGCCGCCATAAAAACAGGCATACTATCGTCATCCCTAAACCCCGGAATCTCCACACTCAATTCTAGCCAGTCTCTTTCTCCCTTTTGTTCTTTCTCAAGCTTCTCTTTCTCTATCGCTTCTCTCATGTCTTCATCCTCCTCATCATCGTCATCATTTTCTGAAGGACCAAGTTCTGCAGCTTGATAAGTCGGTCGCGATTTTTCGACTTCACATTTTACGCCCACGATAGCTTCAGTACCATCTGCAAAACAAATGCGCGCACTGCCATTTGTGCCGGGAAGGACATCGCATTCGGCGATGAGAGGACGGAATTGAGTACACGTACGGGCATCAGGGCGAATTGGAGGGTTGAGAGCGAGGGACGTGTGGAGGTAAGAGAGTTCTGCGGGCGAGAGTAAAAGAGGCTGTGTAGAAGAAGGTGGCATTTTGGATCCGAGGCTCTTCAGACACGAAGAAATTGGGAATCTGGGGAGAGGTTGTGAGGTGATTGGATTGTTCACGATGTTGTGCAATATTTCTTTGCGAGAGCCAGCCTAGTGGAAATTCTTTAGACGAGGCTAGCATGCAAGCAAGGCTGTCTATTCGGAGAAAAAAGCGGCGGAATCTGACCACTCAAATCTCTATGGATATCTTTTGAATTAAACTGAATGAAAAATCAATTATAAATGAATTATTTAAAGTTATGAGGATTAGAATAATTATTAGCGTTATTGTATATAGCACTCAATAATACTCAACAAGAATAAACAATTCATTAATGATGATATAGAAGTGATCAAAATTTGCCTCTCTAGGCAATGGTTTCGTACTCCACTCATCATTCGCTTGATCTCTATAATGTAGAATAGCTTGTTGGTTCCCTGGCTCGTTGATGAGGCTATAGTTTTGGGATGGTAGCATATGAGTTCTTGTATATTGCTTTGGGGCCCATACAGATGTCATTATCGGGATAGTTTCGAGTTTCTGGAGCTGTTCTTCATATCCCAATTTCGGCTTATATCGAAATGATCCATGTGAGGATTGGAAATCCAGTCGGCGTGATGTTCCTCCATTACCCATGCTCTGATGCCAAAGTCTCCGAGAGCATCTTATATGCCCGAATTTGAATTGGAATTTGATCAAAGCTGTACTGCCTCTTAGTAATCCGATCTCTTTATTGTCCAATCATTCTATTAAGAATCCTTCAGAATGCCATCTACTCTATCAATTATCTGGAACAACAAGTTCAAACTTCCTCCCCTTCCAGCACCCAATACTTTTTTCGGAAAATCTATTCTTATCACTGGTGCAACATCGGGAATAGGTTATGCAACTGCAGTACATTTTGTCAATCTGGGTGCACGATCTGTGGTCATAACCGGAAGATCGCTTGCGAAAGGGGAACTGGCAAAGGCCAGAATAGAAGATGAGACGGACACTATAGGAAAAAACATTGTAAGATGCATGGAGTAAGTTTAATTCAATTGTATATTAACATAAGAACAACTGGTTGAAGCTTTTTGATTTCTGAAGTTCCATCAAGTATTCAGATCAGTTGGAATTTGGAATTGCTTCAGATGTCTACGGGCTTCCAAATGTTGAAAGGTGACATATAACGGGCTATTGCAGATCAACAGACAGCTCGAAATTGTCGCTGTGGTAATATCTTGGTTCACACACTAACCTGAGACTCCAGACTAGACATGAGCACCTTTGAAACTATAAACGAATTCGCAGGGAAAGTGACAAGAGATATTCAAGAGATCGACTTCGTTTGTTTGAATGCTGGAGCTATTTCCACTAAGCACAAATTAGGCAAGGAAGGATATGAAAGCATGATTGAGATAAGCGTTCTTGGAACTTCCTTCTTGGCGTTACTACTACTGCCTTGGATGAAAGAAGTTGGAAGAGGAAATGCTCATTTGGGCATAGTAACAAGTAAGTGACATCGAGACACTTGTACCTTGACGGATTTCCGTCGATCGACTCTAAAAAGAAACCCGCTTGGATTTTCAAATGGCTTTGACTAATATGAAACTTTCAGGTGGTCTTCATAGGAACATCGATATCTCCAAGTGGCCGAAAAATGATGTGCTCAAATATTGGAGCGCGAAGGAGAACTGGAAGGACGGGCAAAGTGGTTATGCTCTAGCCAAACTGCTCCAGCAGTATGCGGTCAATGAAATCGCCAAGTTAGCACTGAGCGCTGATGGAAAGTATGTAATGTTCCCCTCACGCCCACCTCCCCAATTTGTAATCACATGGTTTGTACTGACGTCAATCAAGGCACAAGGTCATTGTGAACTCAATTTGTCCAGGTTATTATCCCTTTGACCTAATTAAGAGTGATGACTTTCGATCCTAATTCATTCTAGGGATGGTAAAATCAGACCTTGGACGAGAGTACAATACCGGTGTAGCAATGAGTATAATGATCAGTTTGTGGATGGGTCTTGCTTGCAAGACTACTGAAGGTGGTGCTCGAACTTACGTTCTTGCGGCTCTCACTTCTTCATCGGAACATGGCGCACATTATACAAATTATGAGACGGAGGAAAAGTATAAGAAGTAGGTTCTTTACAACCCCCTTGATCATATGTAAGCTAAGAATATATGTAGTTCGGTTGAGCATAACATCTTTGGAGACGAGGGCCAAAACATGCAGGTGCAAGTTTGGAAAGAGATATTGGAAACTGTGGATAAAAAGTATCCAGACGTGGTCGAGAGAGTCCGTAGTTGAGTTTGTTAGAGAGAATTTTGAGTAGAACGTTTCTATCCTATCTTGTACCGGTGGTTGTCTCTATGTGCGGTGACTTTGTGGGTCTTTGCTGGAAATGAGTTAATGCTCCAATTTGACTTCGGTATTCCAGCTTTGGTGAACCTCGAAATCTTGCAAATGAGGTCGTTGGCTAATAAGTACTGCCAATTTTCTGTCCACTTGCTTCAACCCCATGGGTTTGGATCATGTGATAAAACGAGGTTTGCCCTATCAATCGAGCCGAGTACTTAAATCAAAGACACTTTGTTGCATGTCTGAACTGTTGACGACAATTTGTCATTCGTCCTGATCATCATGATCACCAGAGCGACAGCACTTACCTAGTCTTATTCCTGCGGAGTATAACCCTAACGGCAATGACGCGCGAGCGACACGCCAAGTAGTACATCGATATCCAAAAGGAAATAGTTGACAAACTACCAAGGTGTTGATTAGGATAGAAACTTGAGTCAATTAGTGCTGAACATTGTTACTTACTCTACACTACCTAATATAGGTTGAACGTTTGTTAAATGGTCTGGACTCTGGAGCCGTCTAGTTGCCGTTTTTATGTAACGCGGAGTATTTGACGAGGCTACCTAGGCCAAGAACTAATTGACTGCTTACATAAGACGGTCGTTTTCAACATCACTCGTGTGTAGAACTATGACGAAAAAGAGATTCTTCTCCAAATTGGGTTCTCAACGGAGCCTCGACAGTAGCTGGGCATACGAAATGAGAATTGGCATGTACATAATCTCAAGTATATACCAGGTATTCCCATCCATGATCCAGTTCAGCCTGCCAAGGTGACAGAAGTAACCAATAATTCGTATTAGCCATTTGACTCTGATCATCGGTGGGGACTTGAGAAGTGAAGCTATCAAGCTACAATTTTAGATCTTCCGTAGACCGACTTTCCATAGCTGGTCAAAAATGATCTACATCCCAAGCAAACAAACAAGAAGTCGCAGCATTCATATTTGATAAGCAAATTAGTTTTCCATATTTATACCTAGCTACCAAGTAGTTTCCAGGTGAAAATGATATCAAGGCGAACTAGTTGTTCGAATGTTCTCTGCAATAGTCATCCATTTCCTTGCTTATGGGGAATCTACTGAGCTACTTACCCCATCACCAAACTCAAATCATCCGACTTGGAAACTATCTACAGTCCAAATTATTCGATCGTCTATGCCGATGCCATCCTCGTGTAGCTAGTATAGCATACTAAGCACGACTTAGTATATGCTTCGAGTATTTCCCATAAATAAGAAGTTTGTCTCCCCCCTGTGTTACTTGTCTTCACTCTTGTATGTCAAAAACACCAATTTCATTATGGTTTCTACTACAAAGTCTGATCAAAAGGAGCAGCCCGAAGACAGGGTTTCCTCTTCACAACATCTCGAGCAAGCCACCGACGCCGAACGTCTTGCAGCCACAAATAGAGTCTTAAACGATCCTCTAGCATCATATGATGAGAACGAATTAGAAGAACTTGCCGAGGCTTACGCTCGAAAACATGGGCTCAACGACTCTGTCAATATTTCCGCATTCAAGGCCGGAGCATTACTTGCAAAAGATTCAGGTAGTTTTCGAGCCAGGAACGAACTTTCCAGGGACGAAATAGACTATCTGGACAAAGAAAGAACAAGCAAATGGTCTCTGCCATCGCTTTTCATCAAAGTTATTTTGCTTTGTTCAGTTTGCGCAGCCGTTCAAGGAGTGGACGAGAGTGTCGTAAATGGAGCGCAGATATTCTACGCCCGTTTGTTCGGAATTGATGATGAAAACAGCTCATTAGATCCATGGCTATTAGGTATCACAAACGGTGCCCCGTACGTACTCAATCTCCAAGTTCCCTTCTAGTCTCTACTGTAGCTGCCCAAGCCATCACTAACTTTAGATTTTCAAAGATATCTCGGTTGTGCAATTGCTGGCTGCTGGCTGACTGTCCCTTTTAACAATTGGGTAAGTCATATACATCTTTTCTACTGCTAAGCGCAGTTCTTTTCTTCTTAATCCTCGTTTCCCACCAAAATATTCTTCGATAGGCAATACTGACTCTTCGTAGTGGGGGCGTAGAGGCACCATCTTCGTCACTTGTTTGGTCTCCGCACTAACCTGCTTCTGGCAGGCATTCACCAACACATGGTGGCATATGTTTATTGCTAGGTATTAAGAGAAACCCCTAAATCTCCCCCCACCCCATCCCCCAAAAAGTTGACAATCTCTAATATCTGATACTAGGTTCATGCTCGGAATAGGTCTTGGTGCAAAGTATGTATTTTTTACCTGTCTTAACTCTCATGATATCAGCAAACCAGGGCACACCTCACTATTAAATATCTTCCTAACCATCTCTGATATTGATGCTAACGTTACCTAGGTCAGCCACTGTGCCCGTATATGCCTGTGAGACCTCTCCAGCATCAATCCGTGGCGCTATGGCAATGCAATGGCAAGTATTCACCGCTTTTGGTATTATGTTAGGCTTTGCATTTGATCTAGCCTTCTACTATGTTCCCGATACCGCATCTAATATCCACGGACTTAATTGGAGACTAATGATGGGATCTGCCGGAGTTCCTGCCCTTTTCGTTTGTTTCTTTGTTTTCTATTGCCCTGAGTCGCCTCGCTGGTACATGGGTAAAGGGAGACACCCAGAAGCATATCAAGCAATGTGCAGAATCAGACACACCAAGGTCCAGGCAGCACGTGATGTTTTCCAGATGCACATGCTTCTCGAAGCTGAGAAAAACATGGGTTCTGGACAAAATCATATCAAGCAATTGTTCACAGTGCCTCGGATTAGAAGAGCAATGGTGGCGTCAGAGATCACAATGTTTATGCAGCAGGTAGGTTATGCCCAGCTTCAATTCCTTCAAACACGTAATTATCGGTTAGCTCATAGTGATGAAAAGGGGAGATACATATCTCTTTCCTCCGCTTCCAATTTTCGTTACCCCTCACATCAAAAAGACATTGAACATGGTAGCTAATAGAAGTACTAGTTCTGTGGCATCAATGTGATCGCCTATTATTCATCCGTAATTTTCGTTGACGCTGGTTTTTCGGAAGTCAATGCTCTATGTGCGTCGTTGGGTTTCGGCATGCTTAACTTCCTCGAAGCGCTTCCTGCAATTTGGACAATCGACAAGTTCGGTCGACGATGGCTTCTACTATTTACCTTCCCGCTTATGTCAATCTTTCTATTCATGACCGGCTGGAGCTTCCTAATTCCAGAGGGAACTACTCGCATTGCCATCGTAGCTCTAGGCATCTATCTCTTTTGTTTGGCTTACAGCCCAGGAGCCGGGCCTGTTCCCTTTACATACTCCGCAGAGGTAAGGAAGTCGCTTTGTTTTTTAAACAGCCTGTCTCTAACAATGTTTTAGGCCTATCCTCTCCATGTTCGTTCACTAGGAATGTCCTTGGCAACTGCAACCACTTGGTTCTTCAACTTTGTCCTCGCCATTACATGGCCATCCATGCTGAGAGCCTTCAAGGCCCAAGGTGCTTTCTCTTTCTACGCTGGTTTCAACGTTGTTGGCTTCTTTCTTACCCTCCTCTTCGTCCCAGAGACTAAAAACAAAACACTGGAAGAATTGGACCAAGTCTTCAACGTTCCTACGAGAAAGCACGCCGCCTATGGATGGAGTCAATTTACTTACCCCATCAGGCGACATGTTTTAAGGATGAATGTTGAGAGGCCAAGTTTGTATGAGAGCTTGGCCCAGGAAAACAATCATCACTACAGCCCTACCTCATCTATGAGGGCTGGGGACAGGGGCAACAGTGTTGAAAAGCACGCTTGATTGAGATATCTTACTGCAGTCATCTTAATAAATCATTCAAACGAGTTACACCTTTCGAACAAGTTAGATTAACCGAAGCACTTGGAGGACTTAAATGAACTTAGCCTGCTTGGATGATTTAGATGATTATCTCTCGAAAATTCCGCTCACCTATACAATCTAAACTTTGGGAAACTTTGTACATTAAAACTGTAGCTAAAGCGAATAATTCATTATTGACCACCAATGTGAAAAATTCTCTTTTTGTATATTGAGACTCTCTCCATCATGTCATAATGCAACCCCCGGTTTGATTTATAACGGTGTTTGATTGGCTGCCACGAAACATGCTATTCATGATTACCCGTGGACATACAAGTGCATTGTGGCTGAAGGCGTCTGCATCTGATCTCGGGGAAAAAGAACAGCGCAAATCTCAATACCTCCATTGAGCATTATCTCCCGTGGCAAATGAAGTTCTTATTGGTTCAATATGCATCAATCACCAATATGGGAATCATGACCGATGATTTCACAGCTGTGTTACGATGAATGCAGTTGCGCTACAACGGGATGATTGATCGCAAGATCTGTGATTTGCCAATTGATGAAAAGCAGCGTAGCGACGTGCCTGAACGGCAAAACCTGCAAAATAGTATTACTGCAATGCTGCCAGATTCAAGGTTTATTGTGAAGCATATAGTTCTTGAAACCCCGCACCATCCCCAGCTTTCCCATTTGGTTCTATGAACCGTGAGTTAAGCAAATTATTACTGCTCAACTAAAAGTTACACATAAATCATGCTAACTCTCATAGCTTATACTGTTGTATCAGTAGCATCATTTATATGGCTCATCAAACGTCTGGAGACCGCTATCCTCTCACCTCTATCTCAAATTCCCAATGCACACTTCACGACGCCATATTTAAAGTTATGGTTATTTTGGCATCGAGCAAATGACACTGAGCACAAAGTACGATATGCTGCTCACAAAAAGTACGGTCCTGTTATTAGAGTTGCACCAAGAGAATTGAGTATCAATTGCCTTGAAGGTGGTGTCAAAACGGTATATGGTGGTGGATTCGAGAAAGGGGAATGGTATTCGATGTTCTTGAACTATGGGTATGTAATCATATTCCTCTTGATACTTTACTTTTGAATACTGTTTTGACTTGTCTCCATGTTCAGTCACAGCGTCTTGTTTTCTATGAAGGAGACACCAGTACATACTGAACGCAAACGCATGTTGTCTCATGTCTATTCCAATTCTTTTATCCAGGCATCCGAGGCCTTGACGGAAATCTTGAGGAATATTACCTACAGCAGATTTATTCCTCGGATGCGTATTTGGGCGGAAAAAGGCATACCAGTGAATATATTTCAAGAAAATAAAGCACTGTTCATGGATCTCACGAGTGCGTACTTATTTGGTCTCAAAAATGCATCAAATCTTGTTGAAGATCCTGGCAAGAAAATGATTCTACGAAATTTTGAGCTAGGTCTTTGCGGGCTATTCTGGAGACTCGATGTTCCTAATCTTACAAAATGGATGGCTCGTTTTGGCATGAGCCCGTTAAATGAAGGAATAGCTTCTGCTTCCCAAGCAATGGAAGACTTCATTCTCTCAATGGCCAACCAAGCACGAGACACTCTTCATTCTGAAGATGCTGAGGAGATAGATTCTTATCCAACCGTCTATGGACAACTACGCCAAAAGCTTGAGGCTTCGGAAACCCTTTCTGCGGATCAAATAGACACAGTGGTTGCTGCAGAAATGCTAGACCATATCACAGCTTCACATGAAGGATTATCTATCACGGTAAGCTATTTGATGGCTGAGCTCGCTCGTCACACATCTATCACCTCGCGGCTTCAGAAAGAACTACTTTCTGTGAATTTGGACATAACGCCTTCGCAACAAATTGATTCATTACCGTTACTAAATGCTATACTTATGGAAACACTACGGCTGTATCCTGCTGGTCTAGGAGCATTTACTCGTCAAGTTCCGGAAAAGGGCGGTATGATTGGAAAATACTCGGTACCGGGCGGTATTACTGTTAGTGCATCTGCATATACTTTACACAGAAACTCGGAAGTTTTCCCCGATCCTCTAAAGTGGAATCCAGATAGATGGTTGGATGCGTCTCCAGAGGCAAGGAAACAAATGCTGCGATGGCACTGGGCTTTTGGTAGTGGAGGAAGAATGTGTATTGGGAACCATTTCGCTATTCGTAGTAAGTGAAAGCTCCTCACATGATGAATTTCGATGCCGGGACTTGAGAAATTTTCCTGACAAAAAGGTAGTGATGAAAGCGGTAACTGTAGCAGTTTTCAAAGAGTTTCAGAGTGTAATAGTGTCGGAGACGAAGATAGAGCAAGTGGAAGGTTTTATAGGACATCCTGCAGGCTATAGTATTATGCTGGCATTCAAAAGCGCAGATAAAGGCAGGTCTTGATCAATATTTCCATAGTCTCCAACAGTGTTAAAATCTTTCCCTCTCCAGAACATAATTCATAGCAAATCAGCGAGCCTCAAGATCATTTTGCGACATTCTAAGCATTCGATTTCATAAAGCTGGTCAAGATTGAATTCAGAAAGCGAAAAGGTTTGACGGTTGAACTGCAGTGATTTGGTTATGGTAGGTACCTGAAAAGGATGCCTCTTCATAAAAAGAGCTAGGTAGACATGAACGAGGAACTCGCAGCTTACTTCAGGAGGAAGAAACTCGCACATTCTCGTCTGCGAGTCTGATATTATAGTTTATGATTATTAGTTCCTTCAGAACCGACTTTGATAAATGAGTGACGTGAATTTTGGCTTGCCTAGCTTCGTCCTTAGTCTTCTCCTTTGCCAATGGGCGTATGTAGGTGCTTGATCGTATCCTGAGTTACTCGGATCCCTTCATCATGATCCAACAAATATATCTAATGCTAACTTGTTAGTTTTGACTGTTATTTGTATTCATCACATCACACGAGTGAAATAATAAGAATAATTGCAAGCACAGGGGTAAGAAAGTCGTCCACAGATTCATGACACCTTCCAATAAGTAGAACATGAAAAGATGGCTGATTTCGTGTTGCCGTGTCCGGTAAGTCCGCACAAACTCCTGGAATCTACCTTAGAAGATAAATGAAAATACTTCAAATGAGGTATTTCATGCACCCTTAAAAAGTGAGTAACGAAATTCATTGTTATACATCAGAATAATCAGACTTCAGGCAGGTATATCGCGATGTTCAAAAATCTCGGTTAATTTTATTCTCGAATGATATGCTGGATGTAAAGTACCTAGGTAGGTTGCAATGTTACAGATTTACACATTTAGGTATTGAGTTTATTGCTTCTGATTGTTAGGTACTTGCTATGGGGATATGACGTTGTCTAGAAGATGAGTTATTTATCCCGATATCCTGTTCGACTACGCCAATTTTTGAAAGAGACAAGGAACAGACATGCCATGAAAAACATGTGCCGCAATTTGCAGTGCCGCAACGTGTACATCCTACAAGTACCCAGGTATTGAATACAAATATTGGATATCAAAGCTCAATTCTGCATGACCGACATCGCCACACTTCTGCATAAAACGTACATGTTTTTGAAATTATTGGGAGGAGATGCGTAGCTGTATTGTCGTATTTAGCCTACCTATGCACCTGTTTTACAACAATAACTGACAAGTAAACCTACCATTTGAATTATCCTTTGATCCACAAGATCCTTTCCACCAAGTTTATTTCTTGTATCTTCTTATAGCAGATCTTCAGTATAATCCAATTCCTGCCGCTCAACAACATGTGGTGGCCGTTAGGCAAAAAGTACCCAGAATTCCGACCTGCACAGGTTGATTCCAAAGCATATGACTTTGTCATTGTTGAAGGTACGACCTTTCTACTATGTTCTCAGTTGCTTAACTCACTATCAATATCCTAGCTAACATCTGCGGTGGTTCCAGGAGGCACTGCGGGGTGTATACTAGCTTCTCGATTGAGCGAAAATCCCAAAATCTCCGTTCTTGTCCTCGAATGCGGTCCTGTAAATGACACATGGCTATCCCGTAATCCTCTTATCTCTTCCGATCCGACCCGTCCAACCTTTGGTGCTACGAGGTGGAAATCCGAACCTATGAAATATTGTGATGATCGTCGGAGCGGAGTAATCCGCGGAGAAGCTTTGGGCGGCACTTCCAGAATTAATAGTATGATCTATACACGCGGGACTCCTGCCGATTATGATGCATGGGCATCTTTAGGTCATTCGGAGTGGAGCTATGAGAAATTGCTGCCTTCCTTTATTAAGAGCGAGACCTCCCTTGATTATCAGGATTCAACTTATCATGGAAACACGGGTGAGTAACCTCAAGGACACCATTTGTTCTCATCTAATACTGATCTATGTATACTATAGGGCCATGGATCACCCAAACCTTCACTTACTTCAATTGGCTGTTCCAAGCCTACCGAGCGTTAGCTTTCTTTGAGCCCTTCTGGTCATGATCTCGCTTCTGACTTTTTGTAGTTTCACTGATTGTGCAAAATGGATGGGGTTCATCGCTATCCCAGATTGCAATGCGCCGGGTGCTCCCCCCGAAGGAGTCGCAACACTTTCTCTTACTCTTAGTAAACGCAGGGAGCGTGTATCCAGTTTTGAAGCGTTTCTTCCCAAGAATATTGCACTGCAAAGACAAAACCTCACGATTTGCACCAACGCTCTTGTTTCTAGTATTGTATTTACGCAGGAAAAGGGTCTTCCACGTACTGAAAAGATACTCTTTAAATCATCAGATCGAAAATCTGAAAGCACTTATTCAGTCAAGGTCAATAAAGAAGTCATTGTGTGCTCGGGTGCTATAGGCTCACCGCAAGTACTTATGCTCAGGTGTGTTTTCTTCTTTGCCCCAATTTTTGTATGCATGAAGAAAAAAAGACAATCAAAAAAGACACAAAAGAAAGAAAGAAAAAACCAATGTGCCAATCTCGTAGTGGTATTGGGCCTCGCGAGAGTTTAGAGGAACATGGTATTAAATTGGTGCATGACCTACCGGGGGTCGGATCTACGTTGGTATGCTTCGGGCCACTCTTATCAAACTTTGTACTTACTAACTAACCTACTCCGGAACAGACTGACCACCATAGTATCCCAGTCGCTTGGGAGGTACCGGCAGCCGAATCATTAACTTCTCTGGCAACTAGCCCCCTTAAAATCGCACTTGAACTTTGCAAGTACATCTTCTTCCAGGTTGGTCTCTTCAGCATTCCCGTTCAGACCTTAACTCTCTACGTTCGCTCTCGAATGATCAAAGAAGATAGTACTGGACTTGTCGAAGAGGCTTCGACGAAATCTTTTGATCTCCAAAGTCTTATCCCCAACATTGAGCTCATGCCACTTTCCACGAGTGGAATGGATAATTTTGACGAGCCGGAATTCATAGACGTATTCTCTAAAACACCCTTATTTTGTGTTCTGGCCACGATTCTTCAGCCAAGATCCAATGGAACGGTCCGCTTGGCGTCGTCAAATCCACACGACAAGCCGAAAGTTGATTTTGGAATCTTGTCCAATCCCTCGGATTATACCATTGCTCGCAGCGCCGTCCGACTCACACTTTCCATCGCAGATAAAATGAAAGAGTCTGGGTTCCCCCTCCTCCGAAATATCACCTTTCCAGCTGAAAAACAAGAACTTGATATTAAAAGCAATACTACAGAGGAGATGGACAAATTCATCCGCCGCCGAATCAGAACGACTTTTCACTATGCATCTACGTGTAGAATGGCACCTGAGCATGACCCTAAAGCCCCAGGAGTAGTAAATGACGAATTGAAAGTCTATGGTGTGAAAGGCTTAAGAGTTTGCGATACGAGTGTTTTCCCGCAAATTGTATCGGTACACTTGCAAGCACCTGCTGTCATGGTGGCAGAGAAATGTGCGGATTTGATTAAGAATGAGCTATGGAAAATTTGGGTTGGTTTCGGCGAGATTGTTCAACTTTCTGGTGGTTAGCTTTTAGTTTGTGTTGGTTTGTGGATGGAGAGGATTGCCCAGGAACCTAATTCATCGGGTTTCCATTAGCGCTACTCTATCCGTGGAGTCTCAGTATAGCGTAATAGGCCCTTGGCCTCAACTCAAAGAATTGGATAGATTGACACCAATCAACTACTTGTCGTTTTAGCTCGAAGTGGGTTATATCATAACCTCTCCGTTCATGATTAAATGGTCCTCTTGGCACTCTGTACAAGCTCCCACTTCTACGTTCTCCTTGATGAACTTTCATCTTGCTTCCGAGCAAGAGTATGAGAAGCTCTTTGTACCTATATATTCAACATTGGAACTCGATGAAATTAAAAGAATATACGGCACTGTATCCAGAGCAATGGAGTTTGTAAGAACAATGGTATTCAATTAACTAATCTCGCTATTGATCGAAATTCTATCATTTCTACTCATCTTTTATTCACGCCTTGTTTATATCTTTCGTTGCTGCAATTATCCCAAGGAAAATTTATGTATCGCTTTCAGGATATTGTGGTCTCGTTGAACGCCCTCCCCATTTGGTCCAAGACTCCATCAATCCAATACCCATTTAATCCATCCATCATAATATTATGTTCCATCATAACACCAGTAAAAATAACCCAAGAAGACTTTTTTTTTTCGCATAATGAATGTAGGTATAGATCAATCGCAGGCAATGAATGCAAATCTATCAATCGGTAGCTTCGGGAGTGGCTGTCTCGCTAACACCCTGACTGGGAACCTCCAAAACCTTGGGTGGCATGCCTGCCATCTTTGGCTTTCCGTCGAGGCTTAATCCGCCCAAGCTATTGAGTGGCAATCCTCTTGGGTTGTTCTCCTCCATCTTTTTCTGGAACTCCCTTTCGATTCCATGTTTGACTGCATCCAGTACGGTATTCACGGTCACTCTAGGTTTGTATGCTGGCTCAGTTCCCTCTTGGTACACTCCAGTTCGTACCAAGATCGAATACCAATCATTCTTAGACTTCTCGTTGAATTGGTTAGTACCTCTGATATCGGACTCTGGAGTGTCACCGACGAAGTAAACAGTCTCGGGAGGACGGTTGCAGCGATGTTCGTCCTTGCGCCATTGCTGTAACAACCTGGTAGCAAATTCAAAGGTTCCAATTTGAGGCTTTCCGAAAGCGATGGTTTCTAACTCTTTGCCCTTGGTGAGGTCTCTGAAAAGCATTTCGGTCATTTTTCGTAAAGCGCCCATACCAAGACGAACATTTTCGTGAGCAGCTGACCAGACAATATCGCTGTGGGAGAAGTAGATTGGTGGTCCCTCATCGAAAGTTTCGGAGAGGGTACCAATGTATCCTCCTTTGGACATGGCAAGATCGAGCATAATTTGGACGTCGCTAGCCCAATCACGACTATCGGCGAAGACGAATATAGCTTCGATTTTAGTTTTGCTATAATCACGACCACCACGTGAATTCTTCAATTCTTCGGTCGTGAGTTTGCGGAACGGAGTGGTATGTTCGTTGTCTTTAATGATATCACCTGGGGTGATGACATCACGGAATCCGTAACCTTCGGCGACTTGCCTGCATTTTTCACCCTCACCTCCAATTACAAGAACAGTTTCATATTTTTCAACCATTTCCCTCATAGGAGTGTGGCCTGGAGAGAATTAGTATTTGAGCTGCAAGTATATTTCGACCAATTCTTCAATGAAGGATTCCAGCATGGGTACGTACCGCAAATGAACTGTGAAGGCGAAACTTCAATGTCCAGTTGTCTCGAAAGATCAATACATCTTTCTGCTTCGGTCTTTCCACCTCCATTTGTCAAGAAGATGTATGGACTAGGTACGTGTCAGCAAGGGGCTCTTCACACTATTTGTTGGAGAAAAAAAAAAAAACATACATCCTGATACCATATTCATTCTCTCCATTCAACATTCTCATAGCTTCAATAGCTTCTGGAATTGGTTTACCACCGCGAATGAGAACACCATCGATATCAAAAGCGTAAGCAAAAGAATCAGTGGTGGGGACATCGGCAGGGGTGAGTGGAGTTGCCGGTGAATCTGGGGAACTCGAAGAAGATTCCTCTTCCTCAAGATTCATAGCACTAAGTTCGTTTCTGGCATTTTCCAATGAAGCTGCAAAGTTTCCACCTTGGTATGAAGTTCCTCTAGATAAAGGTTCTCTCATTAATCTTTCTGGAACAACGACGACCGGTCCGCCGTTTGAAACTTCTACTGCGTTGGTAGTCATACTTGAAAGTCTGCGGATTCCAGGTCTGGGTCTGGCAGCTGCAGAAGGTTTGAGGGTGGAAGAAGGCGCCATTTTAAGTAGATATGAGCGTAGTACAAAATTGTAGTAAGTTGGCAGGAACAGTCAGCGATTGACTTTCGGGTAACGGGAACTGCTTCGCCCGTTTGTTGTTTGGATCAAGAGACTGCGGTTAACTGCGCGCGCTTCTCTTATTTGCGTAGGAGCAATAAATCTGTGGGTCGAATATGCTATGCTGGCCTGAAACGTTTGACCAGAAGAGGTTATGATAGTCAGGTCAGATGCGCTTAAATCTTATTCAATAATCATACACCTTGAAGTGTTAAACGGTTGATATGACCGGAGAATTGAACGATCCTAGACAAGATATATCAAAAATATAGATAGACGAAAACAAGTTGAGAGATAAGTTGACAGTGATCAACCAAATTTAAGAGGGGGGAAATCTTTTAGTTTTAAAGAAGCAGAAAGGCAAATGTCTTGATTCAAATATAGTAGGTCCGTCTCTGGACTAGAGAGAAAACTACTCTCTAAGTATGTTCGGGCCTTAGACTAAGTGGAGTATCTTTTAGCCTTGAATATCTTTTCAATGATGATGACCGTCAACTTCATCATGGGAAAAGCTGAACATGACGGTGAATTGCTGAAACCGCTTTTTGTTAGTATGACATCGAGCTACATCTTGCTCCATCGTGCCTGCCTTCATGCTTGTTACCTGGTCAATATTGATCGGGATTTCATCATGTGGACCCCCCAACTATTATGGTACGCAAGGTTTGCCCCCACTGCTATAGACCCTGTCGGTATCTGATGTTGTCTAATACCCAGTGAAGCACAATGGCATTGCTTGAGGTGCTCGGGTGTCTAGGGAAATCTTTTCATCTCGTTCAAATCAACCGGTTCCCGTCTTAAAGGGATCGGCTCGGTGGCCTACACTCTTGTACAGAAATGCATTTTCATTTGCATTTGCCTTGATATCCTTGTGAAAATGTCTCCGACTTTTGCCGTCGATTGTTACATGGACCGAAACTTTGAATGCTTAATTGTTGATGTTGTTAACTTGTTTGGTGGAGAGCAAACCCGAATACGTTTCATCAACAGATTTTGCTGATAAGGAAAAAGTCTTGGATCTAGGGGTAATAGTTATGACGCAGTTGTGCATACATAGTTCCACTAAACCCAATTTTGGAAGGCGTAGAAAGTATGAGTTGGTGGGATGGATGGAGATGGAGGGGGTGGGGAGATAACATTATTCTGTCTAGGCCCCTTCAGAGTTCCACTTAACCACGTAAAAGAATTGAGAAAGGAAGAATTTGTGCCGATGAGAGCGTACTTCGTATACTGCACAGTCAGATTCAATCTCGATTCTCTACCCCGAGGCAACAATTATTATCAAGCAAGCCGTTTCTAATTGCAGGGAAATTGATGCCATTCAGACAATCCACTCTGAGTAACTTCGTATGTACCTGTTTCAAGGCAACGAACAACGGTGGAGACAATCCATTTGCACGGCCACCTACCTAACACAGCCATTGTCCATGTATGAGGCCGAGATGCTCGCATCATCGGTCATGAATCGTTAGTTGAAATCACTTTGTGCTTCGTGGCGGTTGAGCATATTGAGATTTTCGGGTGGAAAGAGATCCAATCGATTGCCGCTATAGATCATGTGTATCTTGATCAGATCGATTGGCGCTATTAGAACAGATCTATAATCTCTTATGATTAATCCTTCGGAAGGAGCATCGATACGCCCCTCGTTTGGGTAGAATGAGTAGGTAGTAATGAGACTTTGTGTTACAGATTAGAGAGTCGTAAAGAATGCTCTAGGTACGCAAAGGAAGAACGTGTTCAAAGTCGTGACTCGTGCTTTTCTTACCATGGGATTTGTCCGTGAAAGCCACATTCCCAGACTCAATCATTGTTCTCAATCGTCTCTTTTTTCACGTTTTTGCGTTTTTGCGTTTTTGCGTTCTTGCGTTCTTGCGTACTTTGCAAGGGAAGTGGATACGCAAGTATTTTCCATCTACAGAGTATCCAACCAACCAACATTTCGCCAGCCTCAGGCTAAACTTCATCGGGGAGCGCTTACATACGCACTCGTCTATTTGGCCAATGGAAAGGGACAAAATAGCCCCAAAATATACGGAGTGCCATCGTATCGATTAAGTACATTCATTGATAAGGAATTCCTTCAAATCACAGATATTTCTCTCATCCGTAAAGAATTCTCCAATCCGAATGAACTATTCGACACCGTTTCCTAACTATCAAATTTGGCCGAAAAACAACGCCGTTCCCTGAGGATCTTTTGATTAATTGCATCTTGCCAAGGAAGTATCTGTAGATGAATTATCAAAAGTTGTTGCGGCTTATATTTTCACGAGTTACACAAGCAAGTTGCTTTCTTTTCTTGTTTATGAACACTTTCTCTCACATTTCCTCCCTCCCCATTGTTTTTTTGAAACCTTACTCCATGGTTTGACATGTGAACGTGCTTTTTGGCCCACCGACTCACGCCCACGTTGAGACACAATGGGAAGAAAGCGGGCTTTTGAGGACCCAATATACCCAGAACCTACATTGCATATGCATTTGAAATTTCAAAAGAGGTACTTGTCACCATTTCAACATCAGCAGCAGCATCATCATGCATGATGAGTATTCAAACAATCATGACTCTGAGAGAAAAATGGGTCTTTCCGCATGTGCTCCGTGCTCACGTATTCGAATTTCACATGCACATATTGATGCTGAAAAGGGTGTCAGTTGTTGTCAGCTTTCCGTGTCACCTATTTTTGTTAACATGCATCCATCAGGGGAATCCTAGGTGACGACGGAACAACGAAAATAACGCAAAAACTACGTCAGTTCGATGCCAAACGAAAACAACTGAAGCTGTGTGAATTTAAGGAAAACGACCAATGAACTGCCGAGGGGCCACTATTCTCCATTTGGTTTACGGCAAGCGCCTGAGAGTTCATCTACTGACAAACAACACGTTCTCTTGAATTTCAACTTTGGAAAGTTCAAAAGTTGTGATTACCTTTCAACTTTCCTCTCCAAACTTCTCCACAAATTTCCAACCGGCCAGGATGAAATTATCTGGGGAAACCCTCAAACCCATGAAATCACTTACCTGACACGGCGACTTGCAGAAAAATCAGTGGAGCTGGAAAATACGAGTCAGTATTGAAATGTAACGCGAATTTTGAAGCATCCTTGTATCAACTAAACATCCCCAGGTTTTTACCCCTCGCAGTGTTCTGGTGGGCTATTGCGGGACTGATAAAGTTTGGAGAACAGTCTCATTTCCTTTCAAGTTGAGACGAAATGCGATGATATCTACACTCGGAAAAGTCGGCAAACTCTAAATTCATTTGGGAAGATTGGTGTCATAGAGTCGGGTGGGTTCAATGAGACTGCTGGATGCACACCTGCCTTCAGTAAAGGTATGGTCGTCTCCAGGGGAACTTGTACTAGTGACGAATATATCTACCCTTTGATGGATCTCCTTGAGCTAAAGACCTAGGAGAAACAGTTAGTGATCGAGATGATCCGGGGTACTACACATTCCGTGCGCGTGCAAGACTCTCCCTCTTGATGAATTGGGAAATCCGAGCACGGCACGGATCACCGAGAACCATTTGAAAATATAAATGGGCAACGGGTATGTCTCAATTCTCATGGTCCATTTATGCAATTGAGGGTATGATGCTTTGAAGAATTAGCGGTCGGAGTACAAAAATCTATTCAAATGACAGAATTTAGCTACTCTGGATGGCAGGCTGTTGATAACAGCTGATATGGATGCTCAGAACGCCGTCGTCACTTTATTTGACGTCTTCGTCTTCGTTTCATCTCCAAACACAGGGCTGGCTGCAACATCCTCACACTATTCTCGCTACAATTTGGACGTATAGAAATTACCATTTTGACACAATCTCAAGGACCTGTACTATTCCCTGAAACAAGGAAATGATGCTCACGGATCCTTAGTATGACCCAGTAATATGAGTCTGATTGATGAGTGTATGTTTTAAGCGGTCAGACAGTGGCTAGAGGTTGTAGGGCAATCCTTCGCATACCGTAGAGAGGGCCTAAGATACTACATAGAGCAGGCAGAACAAAGAGACGTGGAGCGTCTTTGAGGTAAGGGAGGAAACAAATTCTGAAAGCTCACACGCAACAAACATATTGATCAAACAAGAAAGCAGAATATGAGTCTAAATACCCCTAGCGACAGAAGCAATAGAATAACACGTGATCAGATAGTCTCTTTTCGCTCACAATATTTGCCTTTCTCCAAACACTTCATTTCCTGTTCACCACCCTCTGGACAAAATTACCTGAATCTAAGTTAGTATGATCTTTGTGATACCAGACTTACACATATCAATCTGTCCAACTTGGCATGAACAGCACTCTCGCTTCTATCATCTTCAAGGCAGCATTTGAATTAGTCCCCATTTCCATCTATTTTCGCGACATCTCCAGCTTTTCCCGCCATTTCAGTCATATCAAAAAGTCTCGATCATCTAGTGTCTTTAGTTATCAATCAAAAATCTAGAGCTGAAATCCGGACACTGCAGACGTATATAGCATAGCCTTATTTAGCAGCCATAGTCATGTGATCGTCTTGTCAACTTCGGTGGAACCAAAACGGCGGGATCCCCCAATTCGTAATCTGCATTGTGTATGCAGCTCTTCGTCTTATTTTGGCTCTTTGGCCTCTCCCTTAGCTTTTCACTGGGCTCTTACATCTGACCTGGAGGTTACATTGGATGAAAATGTATTCAGATAGCCTCCTACTGCACATGAGTATATTTGAAGGTGGCGATTGATAGAAAAATAGAAATGACAATCCCTAAATACCTAAAAATTACCTACTTCACTCCTCCTCTATTTATTGTCCAAAAATATCCCCGAGAATGTCATTAGAGAGCGGTATCTTGTAGATGGGTAAAGTAAAAGTTTCTTTCTCGGGGCCCATGTCACCAGTCGCTGTGTGGTTTGATCTGATATCGCGAAAATCGACTTGTCAATATCCCCTTGAATAACAACACAGACTTTTTGATTTGCTATCTGATGAATGAAACCAGACCAAACAATCAAGTGATAGATCCTGATATACGACAATCACAAAATGAACTTGCTACAATTTCGAATGATGGAAGGTGTCCCATCAGTCCGTGCACCCACCCGCACGCATACCAATGGTTCATTCCAATCATTTAATGGAGAATGCAATGTAAATATCAGGATAAGGCTCTTATTAGTTACCTCTCTTGATAGCTATAAAGTTAGCCAATAATGCTTAACAAAATCTTCGCATGGAGTCGCCAGCGGAAAACTCCCCTTCCACCGCGGAATAATAGGTATTCATGAAGAATCGGCCGTCAAGAACTTTAAATTTAAGCTTAAGGTTAACCTTATCTCGTGTTTTTTATATTTCATCTCTATCTCTCAAAGCTCTGATTCTTTTCATCTTTCCTAAACATCAGTAGCTGGTATCTCAGACTAGAGTCCGCCCAGAACCGAATGAGCCTCATTTCCTTTGAGGTTATAGTATCCTTTTATACTGGAGTGTATGGCAAGAGTTTTATTGCCGAAAGCTTTACTCTTGTAAATCTAAATCTCTGGTTTCAAACAATCAAGTGTGTGAAGTAGGGTTACTCTAAGGATTATGGAAATATCCATGTGATGGGTATTAATAGATTCATCAATCATTCTATTTCATTCACAATGATGGTGACTTGAATTTATGTAATGAGCCGCATGGGAATGATTCAAAGGTATCAAGTATGATTCCCTTAAGAACCATGAAATACAAAGCAAATGGCAGTGATGAAACCTAGATAGACCAACCCATTATCAAAGATGATAGGGAGTGACAAATTGTTTTTGAAAAGGACAGAGTGAATTA